TGTGTGTGCAGTGGAGTACGAGCTGGGCCGCGTGAAGCCCTACTGGCCGGGCGAGTTCGTGACAACGGCGAGTGAGAGCGAGGGACCCGCGGGCGGAGGAGGCACGGGCGAGCGTCTCCGCATCGAGACCAAGGTGGATTGTGGGGGGGGGGGAGGCGGTACAGCTGCACTGCCTATGGCAAGCGCCAGTGGTGTCGTTCAAGTGGTGGTGGTGTTGTTGCGACGGTCTTTCCGCTTTGTTGAAGTGATCGCATTGCTGATGAAGTTGCCACGTTGTTGCTTGTCGAAGTTGCTGCGACGGTAATGTATCCATGTTGTAACCACGTTATTCATAATATTATTCTGCTTGTTTACCCGGGAAACACTGAGTCTCATGGCTCCTCTTCAGGAGGATCCTGTAGGGGGGCGATGACTGCCGCTGTTTCCCAATTGAGTGATTTGCGGAGTAATTTTTCTGGTTTGGAAAATTTCGAACCGTCACGCCGGCACACAATGGCCTACTCTTGCGAATTACATTGCGTACATTACAGTTCATATGCCCCAGAGTATTAACCAGGGCAGCCGCTGGATTCGGACCATGAACCTCTGCAACAAGTGGCAGGCGCACTACCGCGAAGCCAAGTTGATGTTCTTGTTGCCAAGTTGATCTTGTTGATTTTTATGTTGTTAGTGCGACAAAAGCGTGAGCCCGGTACAACGCGCCGGTATTCAATAGGAAAGGGACAAAAAAAACAAGGGGACGTTCCCGATTGGTGCGTCAAGAATTTTTTATGAGGGGTCAAATTGGGCCCGCTGCCCCAACCAAGCGGGAACCCCGCGTCGGAGGAGGGGGGGGGGGGGCGGCAAGGGGGGAGAAGAAGGTGGGGGGGGGGGAGATAACCAGCATACTAAGGGAAGACCAGGGATAGGGGGTGCTGTTGTTATCACTGTGTTGATGATGTTGGTATGGTTGATGTTGCTGTAATGATGTGGTCGTTGTTGACATTGTTGTTGACGCTGTTGTTGTTGCCGCCGTGCACCAGGTGAACATCGAGCCGCACCCCGAGGGCTCGGTGCCGGATGGCCTCAAGCTCAACGGGGACGGCGTGGTGGGGGGGGCGCGCGATGCCGCGCCCACGCCCGTTCCCGCGCAAACGGAGATCCGCAAAGGTGCGGTGCTCACGCACGCAAAACATAAACAGCACACACGCAGCACAAACGCAACACGCATGCACGCAGCACACACGCATGCACGCTCCTCTCGCCCTCTCGGTACCCGTTCATGACCAACACCAGTGACAGGAATCTTGAGCCGGTCCTGGGCCTCCTCAAGGTCACCTCATCCTTAAATGAGTGCCCAGTGCAGTGTGGAAACATCAACGCTCAGGAGAATAAGGCGGATGGGCGAGGTGGAGGCCACCCACCCCCTCATGTGCCGAGCCGGCCATAAGGTGCTGCTCGCGAACAACACTTGGCCAACAGTATGTCGAGGCTATATGGGGGACCTTTGTCTTTGTAGGTCCTTGCACGTTTGTGTACGTGCACGAAAGTGTGCCGGGCGGCTAAAAACGCAGCAAGTTGGCACAGTGAGCAGCAAGGGTGGTTCATCTGCCAGTCATCTCAGTCAACCCACGGCAACTGGGTCTGTTCTGTGGTCTCAAGTTGTACCGAGCTTGGCACAAACGCTGCTTGTGACATCACCACCTGTTGTTATTATTGTGTGCGTGCGCATCTCTGCGTGTCTGTGTGCGCATGCGCGTGAACCTACGGGTACGCGTGTGCCGCACCGGGGAAACAAAGACGACCGTGCATCATGCAGGCGGTCTCCATCAGCGGCCGCCCCAACGGCCTGCGTCACGCGGGGGGTGGGGAGGGGTTTAATCGCCACCCGTTTGCGCAGGGATCCTGAAGAACCGTGTGCCGTACCCCACGCACCCCTCGGCGGAGCGACGCACCGAGGGCCTCAATGCCATCAATCGCATCCACACGGAGCTGGCCGGCTCTCGGCACGGGGGCGGCGGCGGGCGCACGCGGGCGCCCTCTGCCGGCTCCAGCGAGGGCAGCCGCACGGGCACCGGCTGCTCTTCCTCAAAGTTCTCGAGCCGGCAGTCGTCACGTGAGCGTCTCAACGGCATCAACCGCATCCCCATGAGCGTCACCGGCGGCAGCGCTGGGAACGCCGCGGCAGCCACGGGCGCCGGGGCCAGCCACCCCAATGCCGGCCAGCCCGATGACTCTTCCGACTCGGAGTGAGTGTCTCTGAGTGAGTGAGACGGAGAGAGTCAGAGTGAGAGTCAGAGAGTGACAGAATGAGTGAATAACTCCTGAGTGCATGACTCGGAGGGACTCAGGGATGGAGTGTTGGCGAGTTTGTCGGAGTGACTCGGAATGTGTGATGTGGAGGGAGTGGGTCAGCCGGTGAGTGACTCGGTGTGTTGGTCAGTGATTCGGAGACAGCGAGTGTGGCTCAACGGCTTGCAGTGTTGTGACCGGGTTTGCGCCACCGACCATAACGAACGGTGAAACGGGGATCTCCATGTCGGCACTCGGGAGAACACGAGGTCACTGAGAGGGTGACCTCGGAGTGCGGGCATTTCCCCCGCGGATAAAAGGGAATGAATGCGGAATTGATGAACGAACCAGTGTAATTGATATTTTCTCTCCGTCACTTCGCTTCCTCGAGATTGGCTATAGATGTCCGGGGCAGCACACGATCCCCTGCGATGTGAACTCCCACCTCCCCCTTTGGTGCCACATGCGCGACCCTTGACCCCCCCACCCCCCCCCCCCCCCCCCCCCCCCGGTGTCGGCCACAACCTCTCATGCCGCACTGCCTACTGCTTGCGCTCGATGTCTCGCTCGGGCCGATTGTTCACCTTTCGTTTGCGTGAGGTTAACCGATTCCACCGTCCCCTTCCTGTTGTCATCAACTCATTCCATTCCACAGATTTCTATTGCGTAAATATTTTGAGTGAGTGCGTTTTATTTTGTTTGCCGTCGTCGTTGTGCTCTGTTGTCCCATTTTTTGTTTGCGCGAGCTCACCCTGCACGGTCTCGCCCGCTCCATTCCACCCCCACCCGCAGTGGCAGCAATGAGACCTCCATCTGAGCAGGCGCCCGGACCGTGGCGGCACCATCGCTTCCTGTGATGTCATTGCCTGCGCCGTCCACCCCCCCACCACTACCACGCGCGCCCTTCCGTGGCCTGGCGCGTGAGAGACGAGGTCAGAGGGAGCGGAGCGGCGGCGTGCGTTCGTACTGCGCGCGCCGCCTCCCGCGCTCCTCCCGCCCCCCTCCCCCCCCCGATCCGCTCAGCCCCTGCGGCTCGTGGGGGGGGGGGGGGGGGGGCACCACGTGCCAAAGGAAAATGCCCGGCGCGGGGGCAAAAGGTGAGTTGGCGCCGCGTGGCCGAGACGTCACCACGTTGTGCCTGTGCACAGAGTGCCCGGGACCAGCTGCTCGGCGCGGGGGAAAGACGTCAGCTGACACGGCGCGGAGCCTGTGGACCTTCCACTGCCTAGCAATCGTCGCCTAAGCAGCGGACGCTGCCACCGCAGAAGTGGCGGCGGTGGTGCCGCCGTGGAGGGCGGAGGCCTCGAGACGGCGCCGGTTCGCCTGCCTGCCCACCTGCCCGCACTCGCCGCCGAGAGGCCGGGTGGAGCAGTGCGGGAGCGCAAGTGTTTTGCCGTGGCGGCGGCGGCGGAAGTGCAGCTCCCACCCCTCTCCTCCTCCGCAGCGATGGGAACTGCCAGGACAGACGCAGCCCTCGGAACAGGGTGCACTCTTCCGATTGGTTGATACATATCACATGACTACGGCGGACTGAACTTATGAGTCGCATCAGCAGGCATTCTGGGAAATCTTCCAACGCGTCGCCTTTTTTTCCAAACAGGGAGAACTGTTATATTTGTAGATACTTTCTATCATCGTTTCTAATGTCGTCGGCAGGCGAGGTCTCATTTGTACATTGGTTTATTTTGTACTGATTTTTATTAACTTGATTTCTGTCGTCGTCGTTGTTGAATAGCATGAGAATTTATTTCGTTTTTTTTTTCTAAAGTCTAATTTAAGCTGCACACGATGAGACTTGAATGTGGCTGTGGAAGTCAGCGTCTCCCCGCCCTCCCCCGCACCCCCCCAAGATCACCCAACATCGTCTCCAGAGACAAGACTGCATCAGTCGGACACTGTTATAACCCCGACTGTCATTCCGACAGTTACCCCCGGGGTCAATCCGACACTGTTAACCCCAGAGTAAGTCCGACACTGTTAAACCTAGAGTAAGTCCAACACTGTTGAGGATTGAGAGTCAGTCACTGTTAAAATTCAGTCCGACTGCCACTAGTGCCCCCTCTCACTGCAGGCAGTCGGTGTAGCGAAGCACTCTGCAACCCTGCGCTCCATCGGAGGGGGGGGTGGGGGGCAGCGGCGCTCACGCTGCAGGTACCCCCCCCCCCCGCCCCACAAACTCGCTGAGCTTGCGTTTTCCAGCAACGCTGCATCCCCCCGCACCGCCCCAGCTGTGCCGTAGCGGTTGCGCCCAGGGGAGGCACGAAGGCCGGCGTTGGGGAACGCAGAGAAGCACCGGGAAGAAGTATGGGAGGAGAGTGCGGGCAACCACCCCACCCTCGAGACGACTCCTGGGAGTTTGTATATTTGGCTGTGGGCGAGGAATGCGCCGTAGAGTTCCCTCCCCTGGGGCCATTCACATTTTCTGTGAGAATTTTTTGTTTTCATTTCTCCTGTTTCACGGAACGAATATTAAATGGATGTCAACATTTCCTGTCTGTAAGCTAGAGCCTGGTTTTTTTCACTGGATGTATTTATTGATGTGTAGGACTTAGCGAAGAGGTCTTTACGTGAACAGCAGCCTTTTCTACACCGCGTGTGTTGGGGCTCGGCACCCCCAGACACTGCCGCCGTCGCGGCGGCAGGCAGCGTGACGCGGCCGATTAATTCAGAAGGGAAGGTTTCTCACCGAAGGACGATGGCGTTTTCGCTTCCCCTGTTTTGACATCGACTTTTGTGGACTTTATTAAAAACAAAGTGAAAACTGCGCGGACGCGTGGTGACCGCGCGTTTTGTCGACGAGACGCACGCGAGGGGTGGGGGTGGTGGGGGTTTGTGTGTGCAGCCCCACTCTGTCGGCCCACGTCTCTCACCCAACAGCTCGGCGCTTCTCCCGTGGCAAATGTTTGTTCATATGGTTGTTATCGACATGATTCGGTTTCAGATACCAATGCGCAGCGTGTCGGTGACCGCCTATGAATATAATATTTAACGCAAAAACTGAAACCTTGTTTTATGATGGAAGTCATTAGGATCGTGGTTGTTCCAACTCGGGAGCTTCACAGAGAACACAACTCCTTCTTGTGAACAAGCCCAGACCAACTGGGTGAGGAAGACGGAACCAGAACACTGAACGCCCACCCGCAACCACCTCTCACCCATCACCTGTCCTGTAACTACAGCCAAAGTCATTCTGTAGCCGAGCGCTTGGCAGAACTGCGACAATATTCAACAATGCGAGCGACGCGTGGTACGGGGAAAAAATATTAATTAATTACCGCAGCAGTGAGAAACACTTCCTTCCCACAGCTGTCAAAACAAGAGCTGCCATTACATTCACGAAATGTACAAGCGCATCAAGTACAAAACAATTGGATGCTGATTGTGCAGACATTCCCGTCACGTCTCCCCACTCTGGGTTCGTGCGTGGCTGCTAAGACCACAATGCACCAGGGGTATTTTACAGTAGTCGCTGCCGGCAACATAACCACGAGCAGCTGTGGCAACTTTGTTCGGAAATGGTACGTGGTTACCATTGAGTTCTGTCTAAGCCAATGAAAGCAGAGTTTGATGGACACTGATTGGCCTACACTGCCACATAACCTTGGGTAGTGGTGTTATTTCTGCGATCCGAGCCAAGTTTAGTGATCACATTGTTCAGATTTGTGTTATGAAGAGCCATAGGCCAAAACGTCACCTATTTGTTACTGATTAATGTGTTGGGTTTTTGGCTCATATTTTGGAGCTACCAACATCTTTGTAAATACAGAACATGAAATGATTGAGGAATGGATGATCATGATTACCAGGGGCGGAGCCAGGGGTGACATTCTGCGTATAAGTGTACGACGCTCGGTCTGGCGGACTCCGTGCAACTGCATTGTCAGAGTGAGTCGCCAACCGATGGCGTCTAGTTCAACAGCCTGACTCTCTAATCATTCTTGAAATTAACATTTGTTGAATGTCACCCCGGCCTGAAATCCTGGCTCTGCCCCTGATGATTACAGGCAACATTTGCCCTGCAAATTTTCCCAACTGTATCATGGCCTTAAGAATGACTGGGAATGCCACGATCGTCACTCATAACCTCCCACCCCCCCCACGGTCCCCAGCGCCGCACGTCACCACATGAACCTCTGCAGGTCGGCGCTGTCGGGCCACTGGAATGTTCGGTGCAGGAACAGATGGACGGTCGCTAGGTTCACGGCCAGGTGCAGCGCGGCCTCCACGAGCAGATGGGGCACAGAGGGCACGGGCGCGTTGAGCCGCAGCACCAGGTAGGGCAGGATGAAGTAGCGCAACTCCAACAGCCGCTGCGGCACCGTTGCTGCCGTCACGCACACCGCGAACCCCGCGCGCCAGAACGGCGACTTGGCGCGCAGAGCCTCACTCAGCACCCAGCCGGCGAATAGGTAGGCAGGCACCGGCAGGAATCGCGCCAGCGCGTGCCACCCCAGCGCACGCCGCCACAAGTAGAAGGTGTAGTGGCGGTTGTCAGCGAGGAGGTAGGGGTGCACGTAGGTGAAGCGCCACACCAGCAGGCAGCCGAGCGCCCCCAGGGCGAGCGCTGCCGCTGGATGCCGGCGGAGGGCGAGCGCGGAGTCGCGAAGGCGAGTAGGCGAGAGGAGCAGGTGTGAGCTGAACGCCAGTGTGAAAACGAGGAAGTAGAAGAACTGCGGGAAGTGTAGGCAGGCCTGGTGGCTGGCGCGGTCGCCCAGAACAATGCCGTCGTTGGCAACCACGAAAGCCAGGAAGGCGCCGAGCGGCAGCGCGTATGGCCAGGCTGGCGCCAGCGCGCGCCACATGGCCTCCGGGGAGCGCAACCACTGCAGCCCGAAGCGCAGCAGCTGCAGCCAGCTCTGCCACAGGGACGGGGCCCGCCGGTCGCTCGGGCTCACGTCCTTCTTGCTGCGCTGCTCCTCCCAGGCCCTGTCCAGTTCCTATCCACGCACGTACACAAACACCCCCATTTAGCCTTAACAGACTGTAGGGGCAAGTGCTGTTAGCGAGCACTTATGCAGGCCGGCACGGCACACAAGGGGGTGGGTGGCCAACACCACGCCCGGTCGCCTTTGTATCCCTCGTCACGATGTTTACACCTAGGGGAGGCCCGGTTCAGATAATCGTCAATGGTGTTGGCCGTGAGCGGGAATCGCCAGGTTCATAGCACAGCGTAGCGCTAATCGCTACACGACCGCTCCCCACTCTCGGGAGAATACTTCAGAGATGCGTAAAATCAGAGACCAGCAGGAGGAAGGCAACCACAACTAGTGCTGACAATTTCCCAAGCTTTGTGACCCGACACATTGCGATGTTTCATGTTTAATACACGTGGGAGGAAACTGGAGTTCTCGGAAAAAACTCACACATGCAAGGAGGGAGGGGGGGGGGGTAACAACTAAGAAGTATTTTTGACAATCGCTGTTTTAATGAGCAGGAGTGTTTTTGTGTCACTATGGCTCTCAGGAGCAAGAGGCCTCACCTGGCAGACGACGATGCCAGCGTAGAAGGCGACCCACACCACATTGGTCTGGCGGAAGCAGAGGGCGAGCAGCGACACGAGCGCGGCGGCACCATGGCGACCGTGCGCACACATTAGGTACGCGAGCAGCGCCAGGAAGGTGGAGCCGGCGTCCGTGTAGTAGAGGAATGAGAAAAAGTAGAGCACTGGCAGCAGCGCCAGCGACAGCGCCTGCAGCAGCTGCTGCGGCGTTGACAGCTTCTGCACGAGGGGGTCAGCAGGAGACCGAGGGTCAAGTGTAATTAAAAAAAGCACTGATTGCAATTCACTACGGGTTTCACAATTATGACTGTGATTGTGGTGGGTGGAGACGGGGGAGGAAGTGGTTGGAATTTCTGCGAAATAATAACTTATGGCCACATGCTTTATCTTTAGTATATGCACTTCGGGATACTGTGGCATTCAAGTACTAAAAAAACGTAAATCATTATGAAATCATTGTTGTTTGGGTTGGATCACGTAAGTATACAGCCAAATGGTGTTGTACATCCTGCTCCACCCGACACAGCCAAACAATTAAAGTTGTCACATGAACAAAACATGCAGATTGATATTGTTTGCAGCAAGTTGGTCTGTTGAATAACAATACCATTGTGACCATCCTTATAATAACCTTCATTTGTCAGTCACAGCATTTGAGCAGTTTCGAGGGCTCATTCGAACCACAATGACCAAGGGACATAGAGAATCGACTATGACCTATGCACAACTTTCGACATTTAACTGCAGTAAAAAGAACGTGAAATCACCAAATATATTAGCTAATAGCACCACTAGAGAGCAGCAGTGAGCAGGTAGTGGTGGTGAGGGATTTTGGAGGCTTCAGGTCTCCAATATAATGCAGATTATAGAATAACCCCCATCTATTTGTCACTGTGAAAATGTGCTTGTACATTACGTGCAAGTTTTCCCTGCCACTTGTAATTCACATGCGGCTTATCAGAATGGGCTACATATCGAGCATCTCTCTCAAGCTACAGTGCGTGGCGAAAGCTTCAGAGTAGAAATGCCAAACACGCAGCACAACCTTGAAAACCGCAATTTAATTTGCTTCTAAATCGCGGCTTAGGTGTAAACGCCGTAAACGCCTCGCTCACCGTGTCACTGTTAAGGCGGCATGTGAGCAGGTAGAGTGTGTAGAAGTTTCCGAGGCTGAAGAGGAGGCTCGTGAGACGGAGGAGCGTAGGAGAGCAGCGCTCTGAGGGAGGCAGCCCCAGCATCCAGCCAAGTGGGGAGAGGAGGCCCAGGGAGAATGCATACAATCCCGGTGGCGTCGTGATCTTCGGGTCCCACTGCACTGGCAGAGGTTACACGTAATTAGAATGAGTTTGGTCACTGCATTTACGTCATAGTTTGTGTTTGTGCCTTGTGATGGGACTTTGTAGGATGTACGTTGAGATTTATAAGGGCATGGGGTGACCAATAAGGTCTGAAAAGGGGTTGACAGGTATGCACCGGTTAGTACTACACCTACCACTGGCGAAATATTGAAGTCTCTCACCAAACCAATGTATGCCCCAGATCACCTTTGTAGAAGAGAATTGCAGACTCGGTTAACGAAAACTGAAGTCAGCGAAGCTCGGCCGCGCCCTCTGCTGGGCAGAATGCAGGCTCAACGGATGAATGAATGGGAACCCGACTTATTTGGGGGGGAAGACGGAAATGGTGGGAGAGCAGTGCAGTACACAATTTATATGTATGCAGCAGTGTGACACGAGGGTTGGCTGTTGGGTAACGATAAGTCACCCCCACCCCACCCTCGCCGCAGTCTCAAAATTCTAGGTCCACTAATCGAATACAATCTATATTTATTTTCGCCTCTTACAGCCACGTGTCATTCTGTTAACGTAAAGGTAAAATCAGCGGGGCCATCATCAGTAATGCACAATCTCTTGCTGGATAAAGGATTCCCCAACCCGCCGCCATCTCTTGCGATCCTATAACTAGTGATAAGTCGGTGGTTAGCGCAATTCGATCCGAACCCGGCGACCAGAGTTCAATTCCCGGCCACGACTAACATAATTCACGAGTCATGTTTGAACTGGGCCTCGGTTCCACCCATCATCGATCCACACTGAGAAGCGTTGAGTCAAACAATACGTGAGGATGCCTTCATCCAGCAGCAGAGTGACAAAGGGCTGAAAATGTATGCATAAGCAGCTAATTGATCCACCCATCAGCAGCATTCCTCTAACCGTCCTTATGCCCACCAATCAACGTCAGCCTCGCAGGGTGGCTGGAAAGCACACGTACGTTCAAGAAAACGGGGTTATCTATGGATAAACGCGGCGTGTAACAAAGACACGGATAGCACCCCCCTCGTCCCACCACTCGCCGCGGGAGGCCCTGCCGCAGGCTTCCCGCGAGCTCGCTAGGCAACAGCGGTCACTCTCCGTGTGAGCAGCGCTCCGCACCTCGAGGAAGGAACCGTTGCAGTACTTCTGCGCTTGCGGGACGTGGAAGATCTCGTCCATGTAGGGCCCGGGCTGGGAGCCGCTCATGGCGCTGAAGATCGCGGCCGAGAGGCCGAGGTAGGCGGTGGCTGCCGTGGCGACGCAGAGCGCGGCCATGACGGGCGACCTCTGACCCGTGACGTCACGTCGCGATCCGGGTGCAGAGTGAACAGCTCTGGTGGGGGGTGGGCAGCTATTTTGGTGCTGGGATCACCAGCGTCGCTTCAGACAACGCCGGACTCTGCTGCTGCCGAGACACTCGATGTAGGAGACGAGACACCGTTTTGCTCGTGCTGCTGGATTAACGGCACTCCCCCACAGTCATAACCGTAGACAAATAACGTCACGGCGTGACGCATTTCGAACGCGTGACGTTGCGGTTCGGTGACGTCACGTACTGGGTACTTGCTGTGAAAACTTCCACATATTATTTGTGATGGTGCCGCTGCATCGGATAGTAAGCGCACTAGCGCAAACAACAAAAAACTCACTCTCGACGCAATAACGTTTCGGCCAATGACCCTTCTTCAGCGCACATTAAACCAAGTGACGTCACGAGCTGTTGAGCGGCGCGACGTCAGGATCTTTTTGGCGGGGGGCGACATGACGTCACGAGCTGTTTGACGGCGTGACGTCACGCCGCGGGTGCTGGTGTCTCGTTCTGTGTGGGTGGAGGAGGCGATGGAGTCTCGGGGATAATAAATAAAAAGTCCTCCCCTGGCACGAGGCGTGCGCTGGAGGTCTCCACGGGGCCCAGAGCTTGAACCGCCGAGAGCATCGCCGGCAGGTTGGGGGCATCGCCGGCAGGTTGGGGGCGGCTTGCCGGCCCAGACGCAGCTCCAGGAGAGAGCGGACGGGGCGCGGGTGAGGAGCTCGTTCACTCATTCGCTGTTCACTCACTCGCTGTTCACTCACTCACTGTTCAATCACTCACTGTTCACTCACTGTTCAACCACTCACTGTTCACTCGCTGTTCACTCGCTGTTCACCCACTCACTGTTCACCCACTCACTGTTCACTCGTGGTTCACTCACTCGCTGTTCACTCACTCACTGTTCACTCACTCACTGTTCACCCACTCACTGTTCACTCACTCACTGTTCACTCGTGGTTCACTCACTCGCTGTTCACTCACTGATCACTCACTCACTGTTCACTCACTCACTGTTCACTCACTCACTGTTCACTCACTCACTGTTCACTCGTTGTTCACTCACTCACTGTTCACTCACTCACTGTTAACTCACTGTTCACTCACTCACTGTTCACTCACTGTTCACTCACTGTTCACTCACTCACTGTTCACTCACTGTTCACTCGTGGTTCACTCACTCACTGTTCACTCACTCACTGTTCACTCGTGGGTCACTCGCTCGCTGTTCACTCGCTCGCTGTTCACCCACTCACTGTTCACTCGCTCACTGTTCACTCACTCACTGTTCACTCACTGTTCACTCACTCACTGTTCACTCGCGGTTCACTCACTCACTGTTCACTCACTGTTCACTCACTCACTGTTCACTCCCTCACTGTTCACCCGCTCACTGTTCACTCACTGTTCACTCACTCTTCACTCACTGTTCACTCGCGGTTCACTCACTCACTGTTCACTCACTCACTGTTAACTTACTCACGGTTCACTCATTAACTGTTCACTCATTCACTGTTCACTCACTCACGGTTCACTCATTCACTGTTCCCTAACTCACGGTTCACTCACTCACTGTTCACTCACTGTTCACTCGCGGTTCACTCACTGTTCACTCGCGGTTCACTCACTCACTGTTCACTCACTGTTCACTCACTCACTGTTCACTCACTGTTCACTCACTCACGGTTCCTTCACGGTTCACTCACTCACGGTTTCACTCACTGTTCACTCACTCACTGTTCACTCACTGTTCACTCGCGGTTCACTCACTTACTGTTCACTCACTCACGGTTCCTTCACGGTTCACTCACTCACGGTTTCACTCACTGTTCACTCACTCACTGTTCACTCACTGTTCACTCGCGGTTCACTCACTCACTGTTCACTCACTCACGGTTCCTTCACGGTTCACTCACCGTACACGTAGCTAACCGTGCTAGTCGGAGGTGTAACAAATAGAAAGTGACATTCGTGCTGACTCTCGCCCCATTTCTGACGGAATCCCGAAGCCTCACCCTAGCCCCTTACCTCCTTACATCCACCACCAATCGCTAACCCCAACCCTTAATCCATTCCCAACTATCCGTAACCCGACGCCTGACTACGAATCCCATCACCGGAACCAACTCTGATTTGCTGCAGGAATGTTTTTCTTTTTCAAGAAGCGTTCGTTTCTTGGCGACGAGAAGTAGAAACATCAGCAGCAGAAAAGTCAACGGCAGTAGAAGAAGAAAAATGATAATAATAATCATTATCATCAGTGTTGACTGGGGTTGTGACCTCACCCGTTTTGATCCGGAGTTTACATGTAAACTTGTCTGGGACTTGGCATCTATGTTCAGGTGGCAGGAGTTGTTTGGTATTGAGATCTGGTGACATTCTGTCTGGAGTGTTGAACCGTATCTACTCGATTATACTGCACAGTGTTGATAGACCCAAGCCAACGGGGAAATATGTCCGAATTTGTTCTGTGGAAAGGGTGGCAACTCCACTCAATCGCACCAACGTATTCATTCACTCATTCACATGCCAACAGTAACTCACCCATTCACTCACCCACTCGGTTTGCCACCAGCCTGGGAAATGTCATCTCTTATCTGTGTTCGGGTGATAGGAATTGATTTGTTCCGAGATCTGGTGGCGTTGCGTTGTTGAACTCTATCACAATAAACTGTGCAGTGTTGATAAACCTAAGCCAGGGGTCGGCAACCTGCGGCTCCGGAGCTGTGTGCGGCTCTTTACGGACTGCTTCGTGACGTGTGTGTGTGTATATGTGTGTGTGTATGTGGCCTCAAGGTGCACATGGCCTTGCACAAGCGTCGTGGTGACGTCACCGCCACTTAGTGGCGAATGGCGGTTGTTGTTGTGTATGTGTGTGTGTATGTATGTATTCACCATGCATAGGTGATGACCCTCGTGGTAGCTGAAAAAGATCAAATAGAAGCCCGTGTGGAGGAGCGGCTGGGAGGGATGGGCCTCGAGGGCCCCCAGGGAGGCGAGGGCCCCGACTGCTGGCCCCTGGAGCGCTTGCCGGGGTGGTGCGTCTCCCTGCTGCTCTTCCGCGCCGTCCAAAACGCGGCCGAGCTGCGGCTCAAGGCCATGAGCGGGGCCCTGCCGGGGGGCGTGATCAGCGCCGCCGTGGTGAGTCCGTGTGAACCGCACGGCCGCGACACGCGAAGCCGCTTCGACAACCGGATCACCGCACAGGAACCGCACAGCAATTACCACACACTTGGCAATCAAACGACCACACGGCACCCGCTTACCAACCGCTTGGCAGCTGCACACGGCAACCTCACGACGGCCGCATGTCAACCGTATATCATCCACGCAGCAGCAACCGTTCACCACATGGTAGCCGAACAGCAACCGTAACAGCATCCATCACCCCCACAGTGACACGACGACTACAAAGCAATCGCAAACCACATGGCAAGCGCATAACCACACGGAAACCACATCGCCACATGGCAACCACTCACCAACCACTCAACCGCCCAACAGCAACCATTTTTGAATGTAATACTATTTTATGTCTTTAAATGTTTCGTGTTCCATGTAAATCAAAGTTTGACCACATTGCGAATATATAGATGCGGCGTGCTGCTGTTTTAAATCTCTCGCCACGCGTTTACTGCAAATTGCTTTGTTTCCCAGGTCTCCCTTGACAAAGATACTCGCGGTCTCTGCCACCTGTCACCTGGTTCTAAATAGAGACTACTCATGCTGCTGCTGCTGCTCAGCCACCACCTAGCCATGCCCACCCCCACAGGGCAACCACACACGCGGGGCTCACTGGGCCGTCGTTGCTACCCCCTCACCACCCCCCGCAGGTGCTGGACCCATTCCAGGTGCTCGTGGCGGCACACAAGGCCGTGCACCTGCACCGTCTAGGCAAACTCAAGACCAAGGCGCTGCACTCCGAGGTCATCTACAACCTCTCTCCCAGCAACAACGTGAGTCCCTCACGGCGTCGTGACAGGGCCTTCCCTCCTCTCACCGTTGCCGGAACATGCAGAGTGTTCCTCTTAACCAAATACTCACTCCGAGTTCTTGAATTTTCCCAAAGACGTTTGGCGGAGTTTAAAGCGATCTGACGTCGTTGTCAACTCGCTCACTTTACTCGTGAGCATCGTTCTTCAGCTCACCAGTGAGCTGAGCTGACACGTGGCCAAATCCAACAATCGATGAATTACAAGAGGTGTGTTGTTAGTTTAACACTTAGTCGTTAAGCCCGCCACCACCCGACACAGTCATTTAATAAGGTTTAAACGTAACGTGCCCATTAGTTACTACTTGAGCACACCGGTGTGTTGGAGATTCAACCCACAACATCGGGGGATCTTTGTGTTGTTTTGGAGATTTACATCTTCAAAACGTTCTGCGCAACCGGCGGCAGATCTCGGATGCGTTCCGGAGGTTCGGCGTGGCGGACGGAGATACGGCGGTGCTGGTGGTGCTGGTGGAGGAGGAGGGCGCGGAGCGCGTGGACCCGGCCTCGGTGGAGGCACACGTGAACGGGCAGCGCGTGCCCGCCGGCGAGCTGTCGGCCCTCGCAGACCTCGCCCGCGTACGCAAGGTGGGGCTGAATCCCGATCGCAAACTCACTGGCGCTTGCAAACACCGACGCAAGTGTCGGCGGGGAGGCGCCGGTGGCGTGTGTGTTACCGTGTGTACCTTGGGGACATGTTCTGCATCTCTCATGGAGAGTGGTAGTGTAGTGGTTAGCACACAGCTACTAACTTGGCGACCCGAGTTCGATTTCTGTTCACGGCCAAGACCAGTCACAAATATCTGAACTGGGCCTGGGTCTCTCTTAAATTGTGCTGTGTGTAAGCATTGCTACCAGGGAGACAAAGGCGGCTGGGCACGTCCCATACACCCACCCCCTCGTGCGCCGTGCCGGCCTTCATACTGTAGGTGCTCGCTAACAGTCCCAATAGTCTCTTAAGGCTACGTGCGGGATCTTTGTGTTTGTTTTTCAGTGCTCATGATGCTGCGTTAACACGTGTGTGTTGGTGTGCGTGTACAGACGTACAAGGTAGCGGCAGAGGAGGAGCGACTGGGGACGCTGCTTGACGCTGTGGTGTTCCGCATGGCCGCCAAGGAGGCACAGTAGGGTGGTCACAGCGCGGGGGGTAGCTTCGTCTCACGCGGCATCACGTGGGGGAGGGAGGTTTTTGTCGCAAGCCGCTCGGCTCATTCCGGCTCCGCCGATTGGATTTGAGAAGCAGCTCTGCGACGTCATTAAGCGGGGCTGTTTCTGTCTGACACAATGAGGTGCGCCAGTAGTTGTAGGCGTTCCGAATGGAAATGTCTTCGTCTCGTGATCTGACGAATTTTGACAATGGAATCGGGATCCGATTGTCGCGTTCCCCCCTTGACACTCGCGCGACATGCGACTCGCCACGGCATACGCGGTGCAGCGACGCACTTTGGACGTGCTCGGTTTGTTGTACCGAAACTCGTGAATTAAATGAGTAAGACTTTGGTGATGGTTTGCGGGTTATTGCCGGGGTTTTTCTTCGTGTGAGGGTACGAGGTATTGGCTGAGCACTATTGGCACGACCGCTGCACAGCGAACGTAGCGTGTAATGCCAAGGCGTCAGGACCGTCGGGTCGTCTGAAAAATACGCGCAAGGGCGTTCAGCAGGACCGCGGCGGGCGCCAAGTAGTTGGAGCACAGCGCACCCTGACTTGCAGGCCTCGGTCATGCGCACACATGCCCGTCGTCAATATCAACTGTTATTGCCAAGACACAGAGACCTCCCAGAGAAGCGAATGCCTCGAGGCATCTTCAAGTTTAAGCATTGTTTATGGGACGTACGGTGAGAGGTGGTGTAAAGTGCCGCTTTTAATCGGCAAGCAAATACTTTCTGCTGGTCTGTGCCTCTGTGCCACGTCTGGGTGGTGAGCACTACCTGGAAGGAACCCCTGCTCCCCTTGCGCTCCGGTTGGTCGTAAGGGCACTGTTGCTGTTTGTTGTCCAAATGTGGCACCGATGTGGGGTTGTTGGGTCTTGCCAGAAGTGGTTGGTGCTGGGCGCCAGCAGCGGTTGTCGTCGTGTGCTGGTGTCATTGATTCCCAGTGGCGGTTGTTGGTGGTGGTTGGAAATTTTCCGGTGGTTGCCGTTGGTGATGATGCCGGCGGTTACCCGACCCACAGCAGGTAGAGGAGGAGCAGGGCCGCCATGACCACCGTCGCGACCACGACGGCCGCCGTGGCCGGCGAGGGCCACTCATCGGTGACGCGTTGTTTCCATCGGCACGGGGCGACACCGCATGCTTGGCCGCTCCTCCGGGGCCGAAGCAGCACCCTGCTCACACGGGGGGACAGGGAGGGTGAAGTATGGGAGCCACACCACGAGGTCGCGCAAACGGCACCGCGCAAGCTCCCGTGCATGCGACACCCGTGTGCGTGCGCTTCTGCTGCACCTTCTGGCTGCATTCATGTCGCCTCTTGCACAGTCATGGCTCCTCCGTTCTTCGTCTGCAAAATGAAAACGACGGTCGCGACTCGAACAGTTCCTCGCTCAGCTCCCAGGAGGAGTGGGCGCCAGCGCGATGTGGCGCCGACAGATGCAGCGGCCGCTGTCGTTCCCGCGGCGCAGACGCGAACTCTTGAGCGCGTCTGGGCCAGGCGCGGCTGGCAAACGGGGTGAGGCAGCCCTCTCAATTTGTCTTTCAGGCTTGAGAACAAACAAACTGACAGCAGCCCAGCCACACGGCGTCTGGTTGCGTGTGAGTGGAGAGCAGACGCCTGTGAGGAAGGAGGCGCCGTGGAGGGAGGGGGTGAGTGCTGGGGCAGGATGGAGGGAAAAGCTGCGCTCAGGAAATGGCATATTGTGGAAAATCTAGTTTTAGCCAAAGGATATGCGTCAGTGAGGCAGCATTTTCGCTTGGGCTGTAAAACTTGAGGCAAGAGGAGGAGCAGGCTGGTGCGGTGTCTGCGCGAGTGGGTAGTGTCCGGAAGCCGGAGTCTCTGCTGGTGGTGGCTCAGAGCCCATCTCGCAGGCAGTTCTTGTGCCAACAGGAAGGGCCACGGCCATCGTGAGAGGGTGGGGTGGCTGCCTGTGCCCTTACTGTGATGCCGCTGTGTGTGTGTGTGAGATCGCTCCACCTGTGAGATAACCGGGAGAGATCGCTGTGTCTCTAAGAGCGATGTAGCTGTGTCTGTGAGACATTTGTGACAGTAAATAGGCAGGTAATCCGTATCCTTTCCATGGCCTCTCCACATAAAAAATATTTTTCTTACGCAACCTATCATTCGCACGTCCTTCTTAGAGTGCATTTCATCCGCATCGATTGAAGACAAACCAACTGGATTGGCTTTGCCATACAGCGCATCATCGGCAGTCGGGCTTGCATTCAATGCTGGTGAACTGGCGATCGTACAGGCCCTCTTACGATTATTATACGAGGCCTAAATTTGACGTTGCATCTGTAAGATAGGAATATTTGCAAGCTCGCTGTGTGTGCCATCGCCGAGTGAGATAGGCGTCTCTGTGAGCTCAATGTAGCTGTGATAACTGCGTCAGATAGCTGTGTCTTGAGCTAAATGTCACTGATATCTGTGTGTATGTGAGCATTTCGCTGGCTATTTGAGGCCCGACTTTGCCTAGCTCCTCTGTGCACCAGCTCAATGCCTGGAATGTCGTGTTTCACTCCACTCCGAGGAATTCGACAGGAGAACGATAATAATCTATCACGGGGCATGGAATGCAGCAAAGAATAATAAATATGAATGAATCATTATTTTTTTGTGTGGGAGGGTTTCCCTTGAGGAGTTGTAGGGATAACGTGTTCATAACTGTCGCGTGTTGGACATTGGCAATGACCAAAAAAAAAATCCCTTACTTTTTATGCAACCCTAACAAATTTCCAGTTTACTTTATACAAAATATATCTTGACATAAATGCAATGATTTTTCCACAATCTGATTTAAAAAATGCACGAGAGATTACCTTTTTACGAAAACCTGAACGCTGCAGGAATATGATGGAACATTTTGAATTCCATTACATCCCCCCACGCCTGCCCCACCTTTTGCCCAGGAATAGTATATTCGCTTTTCATCATCTCGATTACTAGCAAGAAAGTGTCCAAAAAAAACAACACACAAATGTTGTAAGGCTCCCTTCCCGTGGACGTCGAGGCCAGGAGAAGGCAGTAAGTACATCAAGCGGACTAATCGCGAAGTGTCCCATCTGTATGGCATATAGCGTTGCCCCCTCGCACACGTGCACTCATTGTCAGAAAATATCTTAATCGGAATATTGTTACTGCAAGAGGAATCCGATGAGCTATACAGCTCTTTATAACAGATGTCCAATTGGGGCGGGTCAGAAAGTTACAACAACAAACAATACAAAAATAATAGGAGTGCAAAGTATGGGAAAGGTAAGCAAAGGACTTTGAAAAAATATGCAAATTAAACTAAACTGTTTTTTTTCCTTTACAGGTAAAGTCAATTGAACTATATAGCTTATTTTTCACAAGCGACCTGGCCACAAATGACAGCTCAGCGAAGTGCCTTGTCATGTGGAAATCTATAGCAGCTAAATAATCTGAACGCATGTTTCTAATATATAGAGGACCGCAGAGCGTGGGCAATTGCTGGCTGCTGCCTTCCCGCTCAGTGATTGTGCGATATGCAATTTGCATGAACGACGCTTTGTATATGTATATAAAACTAAGAACGCGTTTTAATTTTATTTTAAACTGGCAATAATTTTTGATGCATGAACATGTTACGGTCACTGCATCGCGCGGCCCTTTCAGATGCACTTCTGCGGCCGTCTGGAACGCTCTTCCTTCGATATTAGGAAGCCACCAGAGGTATGCACTTTGCAATCCAGATTGAAAACTCATTTCTTACATATACTGCGCTTACCACGATTATATAAACTCAAACACCACAGTGTGCGACATTGGGTTGATGCTTTTATTTCCAAGCTTGAGGGATAAATCAACTCGCCCGCGTTGTGTTTACCCGTTGTAAGTCAACCAGAAGGTCCGAAATGATTTAATTTCATCAGCGTCAGCGTCAGCATCAGCCCACGATCAATCCACTGCTGGACGAACGCTTCACCTCAAATCCCAACCCGGCGATGCAACTGAACAGGATCTATCGGAGCCTGCGTTCGCCTGTGGGCAAGACACGTGGGAATAAACTGAGAGTTGTTACGAATTAATTGTCAAGTTAATTGTTAATGGTTAAACTGAGAGTTGTTACGAATTAGGCGCCAGTCGGATACCAACTTAGCGTGGCGAGCGAGACAGCCAAATAAAAATGTAATTACAAAATTATCCAAATTGATTAAATGAGTATTATTTATATTAAATTAAATAAGTATCCAGATTGATTAAATATGTATTATTTATATTAATAGTTAATTAAATAGTTACTTAAAGAAATTAAACACTAACTATTAATATTCTATTTAATAATCACCCAGATTTATTGGTGGATAACTATATCCTTTGGGTATTTCGGTAAAGCCACGTAAGATATAAAATAAATTTTTAAAATATCACGACGTTTCGATCTCGAGCAATCATCATCAGGTGAAAAAATATAGCGGTAGCGCTGGTGAGGCAGGAAGTTATAAAGGTTTGTGATGGGTGTAGCCCAAGGGCCATATTTGTCCCTGACTCAGCAGCTCTCCCGCTATATTGTTTCACCTGATGTCGATTGCTTGTGTTGAGATCGAAACGTCGTGATATTGTTATTTTATTTATTATTATTTTTATCTTACGTGGCTTTACCGAAAGACCCAAAGAATATGAATCCCTGCAGTCACAAACGCTTTAAGTCAAGATTTAACTATATCATTAAGTCACGTAGAAAGGAAACAAAAGAAAAAAAGAAAAAAATTATGAAACAATTAAATTCTCACTAGTTTATAATTTTTTTATTTTATTGTTTCCCTTCTACGTGACTTTACCGAAAGAACCAAGAATATTAATCCCTGCAGTCACGAAAGCTTTAAATCAAAATATATAATTAAGTTTCATTAAATAGTTGTCCAAATTAATTTAAAAAAATACTAATTATATTTTATTAAATCATCCAGCTTTATGAAAATGTGATTATTTATATTCATATTTCCTTGTATAATTATCAAAAGCAATACAATAATAGATAATTTATATTTTATTAAATAAAGATCCAGCTTGATTCAATACGACCGTTTGAGTTATGGTCGAAACGTCGTGAGAATTTTTTGTTTTATATATATTTTATTATTTTGTTGTTTCCCTTCAACGTGACTTTACCGAAAAAACTAAGAATATGAATTACTGCAGTCACGAAAGCTTTAAATCAAAATGCAATATTTATTATTTATATTTCATTAAACAGTTATCCAACTTTATTTAATAATCACCATTTACACTCACGGGCATTTAAATATTCTTTACCGAAAAAAACAAAGAATATTAATTCCTAAATTTACGAAACCTTCAAGTTAGGGGAATTGTTATTTATTATATACTGCTTCCAACGGGTTTAAATAGCCGGCCAATCACAGCCCTCGGGTGACGTCACGCGGCGGCCGGTTGGGGACGTTGGCCAATGGGGCGCGTCGGCGCGCACCACGTGGTTAGATTTGAATGTGGGGCTCGCAGAGGGAACGCGCAGTGCCTCTCGCGACACCCACAGTGAGATTCTGACGAACTCGACAACATCAACAACAACATCACGAACAGTGGAAACAACATCATCATCATCCTCTTGTGCGACACCATCACCACGATCATCCCCATCAGTGGAATCGGCACCACCATCACCGCCACCGCCACAGTCGTCCTCGAGATGCCTACGCCTGGGTGAGTGTGGGCCCGCCCCAGTCTCTATGCAGTGACAATAGGCACAGCAGTCACGGCTACCATCAGTGGCTTGGCGATTGGTATCTGGACCGGCCCAGGCCACCGTACGTGGCGCGGTGCGTGTAAAGGCACCAGGGGAGACGCAAAGACGTCTAAGTACCACGGGTGTGCAAACTAAATAACAACAAGAGACATTCATACTCTTTGGTTCTATTGTGAACCCATGGCACCTGGGCCTGTCCCGTGACCTGCCAGCGAGCTTGCGGGCCACTTCACGTGGCCTCAAAGTGCGCCTCGCCTGTGATAACGTCACCGCCACTTGGTGACAAACAGCGGCGGGTATTGTTGTTGTTGTTGACTATAACCTGTTGTTTAAGTTCGTGATTGTACCGAACCCGGCGAGCCGAGCTTGGTTCCCACTCACTGACATCAACATTGGCACTTTTTTGAATGGGTCCTGGGCATCCCCTAGATCGACTCGGCCTCAAAATGAGTACCCAATGCAGTGTGAAAACAACGATAAATGCGGTCGGGCGTGGTGCTGGCCACCCACCTTCCTTGTGTGCCGTGCCGGCCTTCATAGGTGCTCGCAAGCAGCACTTGCCCCAACAGTCTGTCAAGGCTATACGGGGGGGACCTTGCCTTTACACTTGTGTGACGACTAATGTGTGATTGTATGTGTGGCTGTACCGCATGTGCTCAGACGCTCTTCTTTACCGGTGGAGTCCATTGATCTCATCTGCGCTCTCTCCTCCCACTGCAGCTTCGCTTCCCCAGAGGCATCCTCGCCACGCCGGTGCCGCCCGGGTGGAGCCATGAAGTTAAAGGGACAAGGTGAGACCCAGGGTCTCACCAAAGAGGATCCGGCCACACCACCCTCACCTCATCAACCGGCCACAACACGGGGTTAGGGGCCTGTGGTCTATGGGCCTGGGCAGAGCGGTGGGTGGTCGTGCATTTACCACTTGATTCATGGTTCAAGCAGAGCAGCTGCCCTGGTTAATACTGCGGGTGAATTAACATATCACGTGTCTCCTCAACAGAGGTTAAACATCTTCTTTGGTTCTTTCGGTAAAGTCACGTAGAATGAGAATAAAATAATAAATTGATAAAATAAAATAACACAATAATATTCTCACCCCATGGCGCTTATTTTAAAAACAGTAGGCCACGTGTGCCTGCTTCACGGTCAAAACTGTCCCAATTTCGAAATCACTTGCAAATTATTTTGAAAGTACAGTGCGACACTGACCCCCTTATTCACCGTGAAACTGTTGCAAACTGTAGTGGCCTGTAAACAGTCGGGTGGTCGTGGCGGCGGCTATGCACTGTGGAGGCGAGGGTTTTGATGGGTCACATGTTGTTGTGAATCTCTCTTCCCGTGGGCGTTGAGCTGCCGTTCCCTGGCTCTCAAGGAAAAGGCAGTACAGCAAGTGGACTAATCGTTATCTGTTTCCATCTGTACGGGGATAGTGTTGCGTGGATTTCTTGTGTGCTCCAGTTTCCTTTCACTTGTATAATAATAATAAACAATGCAATACGCCCATAAAAAAGTGCTACAACTCATTGTAGCTTTCCTGGATAAATAATAATTATTGTAATTATGATGCGAATACCAAATGCACGAATGATTGAATTCAAATTATACAGCACAACGTGACGTTTCCATAGAGCCAGGGGAGAGCTCATTGAGACGCAAATCTATGTTTCGAGATGTCCGTGCGGGAGAAATATTTTGGCGCACAAAAACAAACTTAAACATTTCCAGGATGGGAAAGGAAAAAAAAACCTTTCTGGGCAAAACGAACACAAATAAGGGGCGAGAGCGAACATAAAGCATTCGCTCACGGCTGCACTTGTCCCTCAAATGAAATGGGGAGGTCGAGTGCTGTGGTAAATGCTGGCTCCCTCACCCTGGAGGCAACGGCCTCCTGCACACAAAAGGTCACAAAGATGATTACATTTGGTAGCGGTTTAACTTTATTCCTTCCAATATACCCGAGGTGACGGGACTTATGCCGTACACATTTCTCCTTTCGGTCGATAAAATGCTGTCGCGTGAATTGCTCTTATTGGCTGTGTAGATGAAGTTGTACCGCTACTGTGTTGTCACCCGAGGTGGCACAAGCAATCGCTGCTCTGGGCCATGGCTGTCGTGGCTGCGCTGTGCAGTGGAATCAGGGTAGCGGTTCACAGGAGGTAGGGGTGAAGGTAGGGAGGGCCTCTCTTTAAGATGACGCCCTCTTGTCTCTGTGGCTTCGTTCCACTCGCTGGTGTAGTGTCTGTGACGCCTGATGAAGATATCCCGGTCTGTGAGAGAACACTCTTGTAATACTGTGCTCAAGGCCACTTTAACATCATGACTTGTTCACCTTAGTCTCTGTCTACCTCTATTCCCTTTCTTACTTTAACAAACATTGTCATGGTTACAGCGCAGCGGTAACAATTGTGCCTAACAGCAAGAAAATCTCGGGTTCGATTCCCGACTCGGGTGATATTTCTGTTTGTATTTTCTATGTTCTCCCCCTGCTTTGCTTGGGTTTCCTCGTTATCTGGTTTCTCCCATAGATAATATTATTTTTTAAAGCACTATGTAATTGGTATTGGCCAAAACATCCCAATGCTGAAAGATTTTCTGAAAATGACTCAATTTGGATGACGCACAGCAGCAACATCACCGTCTACTGCAAAAAACTTGGCCGGACGCTCCTGAACAAGAGTCTTGAGACTGTTGTGAGCTTTTCCTGGCTAAACAAGCATTACAAATAATTACCACCAGTTTCTCCAGGTTTTCCCCATCACGCCTATTGCTATGTGTTCCAAATACTCTATGTAGCTATGTTGAACCTCTTGCACCGTACGTAGCCAACCGTTTCTGCCTTTCACTTACGGTGCACGGAAGAGCATTCTCGGTGATCTCCGGTAGTTCACCCTTTTCCTGGTTGTTCCTGCTGTCCACATCATACGCCGTAGCCACCTCCCTCACCACGGTTCCACAGCTGTGAGCCCCCCCACCCACCCTTCCTATTGGCTGCATTGATCACGATAACCACGCTTTCGAGGATGAAATGAAGTTCGATTTCCATCTGGTGGTATCGGGACATGGCCTTCGCTTGCCTCCCCGTGAGCGTGCCGTTTGCAGGCGCCTCTTCACCACGTGTCTGTTGTGATGAGAGCTGCACTTGGAAGCACTTGCAGGGTGCTCGTGGCACCCAAGTGAAACGAAAGGGGAGGAGTGCGTTGGCAGAACCGCCGGCGCATGACTCGCACAGCTCTCGCTGACGTTTTGGCCAATGACTTATTCAGAACAGGTAGGGAAGCATCATTAACCTACTTCTATTTGGAACCCAAACTATGAGCACACGACTGTACAACTTCACACTGTTTGTTGTGGCCTCCAACTGTAAATCGATCAATCTATTCCCTTAAGACCCAATGCTGACCTCCTGGGTTTGATCTTCCACGAAGCTCATGGTGCACCCTAAATCGCATCCACACAAACCATGGTAGATGCGGATGCCTGATGCACAAATGGAAAATGAAAAACTCTCCAGTAGTGTGCGACTGTGGTCATCCAGAACAGACGATACGACGCAATGCCCGATCCACAAATACAAAGGGACATCACAGCGATGCAACTCTGCTGCTCCTGGCACAGTTATCTGGCTTGACCACCCGAATGTGAAATTGTATTTGTTGCTCTGCATCAGCCATACGAAAGAAGAAGCCGACTCCCAAGCATTGAGCAGCTGTGCGTTGCGCTGTTGTAAGGCAGCGCGGCGAGTGGGCTTTGTGACGTTACTCGTGACATCAACCCCCTGACCCCCACAGGCTGTCTGCTGGACATCACCAACTCCCCGGTCACTGCCTCCACCACACCACTCGGCACCAAGGTCTGGGGTCCGGGTTCCAAGGCGCCTGCAGGGCCCGGGCGGGCCGAGGGTAAGGCAGGGGGCTCCCGGGCAGGCACCGGAATGATTTAAAGATGAATCCTCGCGATCCGCTCGGACGACCGTGTCGGTGAAAATCTATTCGTTTTGCCGTGTATGCAAATTATGCATAAATGTTACCTTCATGATAGTGGTACGATAGTGTATTCGTTAGGGCTAACGGAACAAACAAGGTGGGCAAATAAGAGGAAACATACGATGTGGTACAAATGTGATGGACAGTACGAATGTGTATGTATGTAGAACTTACTTTGCACCGTACGTAGCCAACCGTACTAATAGGAGGTGCAGGGGAAGGACAACAAACTAACACACAAAAAGCAGTTCTATAGAAATTCTTTTCAATCTAGATTTAAAAGTGCATAGCTCCAGTGGCTTGGTAATGTGAAGCACAACACAATCGATGCAAGCAGCACGAATGAGACATACGTTTCGTGCCACGAATCTCAACGAATCATGAAATCACGGTGGGTGGGGAAGTGTGAGGGCGAGTCGCTAGACGCTGACTCCCAGATGCTCGGAGGGTTAACGGGAGGCCGGAAGATTGGTGATCATCATCATCGCTGCGCGAGCCGTGCCATCCCACACAGGCACCAACGAGGCGGAACGAACGGGATCTTGGCAAATGCCCGCGTCGTCTCTCTTGCAGAGCCAGCATTCATCACGGACGAGACCTTCGACTTTGACTTCGTGCTGTCGCCGACCAGGTGAGAGGGCACACAACAACAGACTGAGTAGGTGAGACAGGACGCACCTGTGGGGTAAGGTGAGAGGACACACCTGCGGGGTGACGACCAGTTATGAGAACGCCACTGTGCAGTGAATATTGGATACGGCTCGTTAGGGATTGCTGTGGAGCATTATGGCTGAAAGCAAGGCAGCGCAGTGGTCACACTCATGCCTCACAGCAAGAAGAGCCTGGGTTTGATTCCCGACTTGGGCACCTTTCTGTGTGGAGTTTGTAAGTTCTCCACCTGTTCTGCAAGGGTTTCCTCCGGGTTCTCCGGTTTCCTCCAATAGCAAAAAAAAAACACGTACAATGTAACCTGTATTAGCTAGACAACATGCCAGTGCTGAAAAATGACCTGCACATTACTCTATTTGGATCAAACGTAACATCGCCCCTTGCTGCGAAAACTCGGCAGGACTCTCCTGAAAGAGAGTCTTGAGACTCGGTGAGGCTTTCCTGATGAACAAGCATCATGATAATAATGAAGCACATAATAAGCAGAACTCTGTTCTGCATCTCCACAAATAAAAATGTCTTCATTCCGTCGGTCGATCGGCTTTCCGGACAAATGTTGCTTAGTGCTGTTGGTCTGGAAAGCCGAGAGGCCGATGTCCTGAGGACACGTTGTGTTTGTGGGGTGCGGGGGAAGCGTTGTGCCGCGGCCTCGCGGTCCCGTAACCCCGGAGTGCTGCCCTTAGTCAGGAGAGGGGAGACGAGGGGGACGTGGAGGAGGAGGAGGACGACGACGACGAGGTGTTCTTCGGGCCGATGGGTCACCGGGAGAAGTGCATCATGGTGGGGAAGGGGCTGCAGCAGCAGGACCTGGGCCCCGAGCCACACTGGAGTCCCCTGACCGGGGACAAGTTTGTGCAGGTGCACCCTCCCCACCTTGACGGGCCCTCCCCACCTTGACGGGCCCTCCCCACCTTGACGGGCCCTCCCCACCTTGACGGGCCCTCCCCGCCTTGACGGGCCCTCCCCGCCTTGACAGGCCCTCCCCGCCTTGACGGGCCCTCCCCGCCTTGACGGGCCCTCCCCGCCTTGACGGGCCCTCCCCGCCCTGACGGGCCCTCCCCGCCCTGACGGGCCCTCCCCGCCCTGACGGGCCCTCCCCGCCCTGACGGGCCCTCCCCGCCCTGACGGGCCCTCCCCGCCCTGACGGGCCCTCCCCACCTTGACGAGCCCTCCCCACCTTGACGGGCCCTCCCCACCTTGACGGGCCCTCCCCACCTTGACGGGCCCTCCCCACCTTGACGGGCTCTCCCCGCCTTGACGAGCCCTCTCCGCCTTGACGGGCTGTCTCCGCCTTGAAGCTTCCTGCCTTAATGAGCCCTCCCTGCCTTGACAAGCCCATCGCTCATCCTGCTTAAAGAGCTCTAACTATTCCTGAGTGTCACATCCACCGCAGTCCACGCCAGTCTAGTACAAACACCCCAGCCACAACCAAACCATGGCTCTCTCCTCGATGCGTGTGGGTGTGCGGGCGAGTGACATTGGATCCCTCTCCCTCCCCCATTTCCCCCCTCGCTCCATCAGGTCTGCAAGGAGGCGACGCTGCTGGCGTTGCACATGGAGAAGGCGTGCGTCGCCGGGGAGGCTCCCGCGGCGGGTCACGTCTCTCGGTCGAGCAGAAGCAAGGCCAGGGCCAGGGTGGTAGAGAGGTTCGTGGAGGAGTCTTGCTCCAAGCTCAAGCTACTGGAGGCGGTGCGGGCGCCGGCCCAGCCTCGCACCCCCCGCCAGGAAACCTCTCTGCCGCGAGGACCGGCGCCCGGGATCGGCGATTGCCCAGACTCTGACCGTCGAGTGGCCGGGGATGGCGAGGAGGGGGAGGTGAGCGGAGCCGGCCTCGAATCGGAACGGCCACAACCGCAGCCGTCGACCAATGCGACACGCGTCGGTGCACAGCAACTACCGTCGTGCACCTCGGCAGTCATGGCAACGCAGGTAACGCGTGATACTCGTGCGCGTCCGTCCGTCCTCGGCGACCTCGCGCGATCGCCGTGGCAACCTGACCGTCGACTTCCTGACGAGCGCTTGTCTGCCGGCGCAGGCGAGCGACGACGACGGCGGAGAGGAGAGGCCTCTCGTAAGCTGCCCGGTTTTGGAGGACGACACATTGGACGCGCCGGCGTCGTCGAGCCTGCTCCTCCCCAGCCGCACCAAGGTGCCCCCCCCGCCCCCCTTCCCACTCCACCCCTCAGGGACTCGTTACGTTTGTAAAGATGGCTGTCACGGCCGTTCCGACTGCGCCATGGCCGTCCAACTCGTGCGCTTTCTTCCACAGCTGCGACGAGCGCTGGGACTTAGGCCGCCGGCCCCCGTGGGAGGAACGCGGCCACCGCCGGGGCAGCAGAAAATCTCGTCCTCATCCTCCTCTGGCTCGTGCTCCTCGCTGCTCGGCCTCGGCTCGAGCCACCGAGCCTCCCCCCGTGGTGAGTCGCCGCGGTGGGCTGGGCGTCGAGTCGTCCCGCGCCGCGCCGTTCCGCGCCGTCTTCCCGCGCAGGCGAGGCCCGCCACAGCGGGCGCTGACGCCGCTGTTTCTCTCCGCAGGCTCCTCCACCGCCAGCGCCGCCACTGGCGGTAGGCGTCTACAGGGTGTGCTTCGACCGCCGACGGGCCATCCGGTCCAACCGGGGGGACTCCCCCGCCCATTGTCCCTCTCTGGTCAGCAGGCGCCGGCGTCCAGGAGCCATCCCGCGAGGGCGTCCGCGCTTCCGAGCAGGCGCGCGGGCTCTGCGTCAGATGGCTCGGTTATCCCGGGCGGCAAGCGGGTGCCATCCACAGGCCAGCTGGCCCAGCGCAGGTCCGATAGGGGAGGCGGGAGGGCGGCGGCAGGAGGGGAAGGCCGGGGGACGCCGGTTCCGCCAAGCGGAACCGGGGACGCCGCCCGCGCCGTCGGGATGGGCTCCGCTCGTCACCCCGCGACGCCCAGCAAGGAGGGGCGCGAGTCGGCAGCCGCGTTGTCCGGTGACGTCGCCTCGGGGGAAACGCGGGGCGTATGCCGAGCGGGCAAACCGCGTGGCGTGGCAGCTGGCGGCAAACCCTCGGAGGCGGGGACGCCCGTGAAGCTGCTGCGGGGACAGAGGCTCTCGGCCCTCGGCTCGACGGACAGGTGAGTTGCAGCTGCACGTCTTGCACATTTCCGATAAGCTCTAGATTTCCAGGGAGTGGCCATGGTGTGCCAGGCAGCGCGTGCCAGGGTCAATCTCTGTAGCCATATTATTTCCCCATTCTCCAGGCCACCGGCTGTGTTTGTGACTCCATCAAAGCCGCCCCCCCGCTCCACGATTCCGACGCCCGTGGTGGGGTCACGGGGGGGGGCGGTGGTGCCGCCGGGGTCGACGCCGGCGTCTGTAACTCGCCGGCGCTCATGTATCCCGGCCATCACGCCGATCCGCACGCCGGCCTCGCTGAGACCCCGGCGCGACCCAGACGGCATCGTCGCCGCCGCCGCTATCGCCGTGCGAGCAGACGCCGAGGGGGAGACCGCGGACACACAAGCTCCCTCCCAGCTCTTGTTCTCCCCCCCAGCCACGGACAGTCTGCATGCAACCACGAGGTGGGAACCCAGCAAGAGATGTAAACCATGTGACCCTGTAGCACACAGCTGTGTAGCCATGCCCAAGCCCAGGAGGGCCCAAACCTCTGTCTTGAGTGGTGTCGGCACGGAGAGGGCGCACAATGAAGGCCCCAGCTGTACCTTGCGTGATTTGACATCCCAGCCTCTGACGACGAGCCCTCGCTGTGGCTGTTGGCGTCACGGTGCCGTTCACGCGTCTGCGCCGTCGCTCACGCCAATCTTGGGTGCAGGGGGGGGGGACGCCCCTGTTCGTGTCGCCGCAGTCCCCGTACCGGCGCGAGCGCCGGCGCACCGCTGATCCCCGTAGAGGCGTCTTCGTCGATCATCTCCCTGAGCCCGGACAGCGACGTCCCCCTCCAGAACGTGGTCGTCAACCTATTTGGATCCGTGGCGGCGCTGGAGCAGCTGGAGTCGTTGCTTCCTGCAGAGGTGAGCAGCGGCGTTTGACCGCATCACGCCGATCCTGTAGGTGGACCGTGTGAGGGGTGGCGGTGGCTAACTCTTTGCAGTAGATAGTTGTCGAACCTTCGAGTTGCCATGCTTGCTATCTGGACAGTTGGCAAGCATGGCACGTAGAAGCGGGATACGAGGTCCTTGACACCGCATCCCCCCTGAATCGCTCCCAAAGGTGCATGACGACCTCGTCCCCAGAGCGTCGCGAGGTTTGTCGCGCGTTGCGTTTGACGAAAATTTGTTGTCAGGAAGGCGCCAAGAGTCGCGAGACCTAGCGATGATGGAATTGTTGATTTGGCAATGTTGGTTGGGGGGCAATGGCGGCGGCGTTGGTGGCGGTGGTGTTGTTGATGGCGTTATTTGTGCCGTTACAGACCTTTGCCTCGCAAGGGGATGCGAGCGGTGACCTCCTGTGTGGGTTTGCGGCTGAGAAGTCGACTCAGGCGGAGGAGCGACCGCTCATCGACCTCTCGGACAGCCCCGATGCTCGAGATGGAGGAGGAGGCGGCAGTGGCAATTCCAAGGAGGCAAGTGGCAAATTGGAGATCAAATCCAGCCGGGTCAACAACCCAGAAAAATGTCTGCACCCAGCACACCACATCCAGTAAACACCACTCACTGTATGGGGCTGCGGCCACCACTGGTCACGTGCCACCTACTCTAATCGGCCAGCGATCTGGAAGATAAGGTCCTGGGTGCATGGGTGGCAGGCATGCGAGGACGCGTGGAGTCATTGCCTCAAATCAGTTTGTATGCTCACGACACAAGCACAGAATTATGCTTGCGGCAATTGTTTTGTACGATTTTTGCTCACTAAACATTAATGCCATTCAAATAGGGAAAGGAAAATTACAAACAATACAAACTGAGGTGGCACAAACTAGACTAACAGATAGAATTGATGGATTTTATAAACGATTATTGATAAATCCATATTCAATTGGCGCACCCCCAGTATGAACCCCGTGTGGGTTTAGCGACGCGACTTCCTCGACGTGGCCCTGGCATTTGGAGTCTGCGGTTTCGACCCGCGGGAGAACCCGCGGTGACGGTCAGCGTGTCGGTTTTGCGTGCAGCTCATCGACCTGAGCTCCCCGCTCATCAACCTGGGTCAGAGGTCATCGGCGGAGTGCCTCCTGATCAACATCGACTCCCCGCTCCTCAAGTTCTGAGCGTGCGGGCCAGGGCCGCCGTCTTGACTCCCTCCTGCCCGCCCGCCTGCTACTCCCACTGCAGCGGGCCTGGCCTGGAATTGGCACTGTCCTGCGAGGTGGGGAAAAAAATGCAGTCTCTTAAAGGTGAAGAAAGTGTCTTATTGATGTTTATATTGGTGGTGTCTCCTTGTCTATTCATCTCTCTAGCTGTGTTATACGTCTTGCCTGCCATTATTTTAGTTGCTTGTTTCCTTTTAAAAAGAGCCAATTAAAGTTGATTTAATATGATTGGGTGAGTGTGGTGTTGTGGTGTGCTGCAGGATGCGTGTGGGCAGGCTGATGTGAGATGATCAGGAGGCTGGGGTGGGGATTTTGGTCCTGGAGGCTCCGTCGCAAAGCACCTCACACCACCATGCTCTACTCAAGGACACGCAGTGACACAGCACATCATGGTGCAGCTCAACATTTATTTTAAACAGACTGCGGATTATTATTTACAACTAAAAACAAACGGCTACACAATCGTTTACGTTAGAACCCTCAAATAAATACACACCTAGGGAGCACGGGAGACCTGAAGCGGAGGGAACACGGTCCTTTTAAATAAAACAAAGCTTCCACACGCTGCTCACACATTCAAGTTGCCACACACAACTGCTGCCACGCTCGCACCCGTGCAGCAGCAGGGCTCATTTCATTCACAAAATCAAATCCAGCATATTACTTCTCGCTCTGGCTATGAGTCACGTGCCTGCCTAATCCAGTAGGCAGGCACGAAACAATAATGCCATGAGAAAATGAAGCCCTGGATTACACAGGCACATGGACATCTGAAAGCGCAGGGAGAGTAGGGCCTAGAAATTCCTATGCCAACAGTGCACTGGGGGCGGGTGGACACTGGTGAGGGGTGAACACTGACAGGGGGTGGACACTGGTGAGAGGTGAACACTGACAGGGGGTGGACACTGGTGAGGGGTGGACACTGGCCGGTTCACAACGAGCGCAAGGCCGCGCGTGTAACAGGTGCGACACGATGCCGGCCGCACAAGCGTGTCAGCAACTATGCAAACTCGCAAAAAACAACTTGCAGCACAACAAACGCTAAGGCGGTGCGCAACTCAAACGCAGCGAAACGCACGGTGAAATGTCGTTTGTGGGTTAAACCACAGTTCAAGCGGGGCGCTCACAATTCTTGTCTCGTCTGCCTGAGGTGGCAAAACCCTGGTCCTTCCAATTCACTCCCAACGGACAATACAAGTGAAGTCTTTGGTAAGCTGCGCAGCCTTCTGGGAGTGCGTGACTTCAGCACCCCCGGAAGGTCGTGCGGCCGATGGGTTGTGTAACAAATACTTTTACTCACTGTTAATGGCCACAAAGGAATTGAAACCACTAAAGTTCTGCCACCCCGGGTGGCACCGACAAGTGAGATACCTGTGTCTGGGCTCGTGGGGACGGACGAGCCCTAAGGCCGATCGACGACGTCACGCGTGGACACCTTGGCAGGACACTCCCGAGCGCTGGACGTGGCTCTGCAGGACCAGGTGCGACACGGGGTCACTTAGCAGCAAATGGGAAGCGTAGTAACGACTCGCAGGGCGTAGCTCTGCGGGCTGGCTCACGGAGTTAGCAGCAGAGAGTGCAGGGGGTTTCCAGTTTTCTCGGCGCGGCTTCTTCTGCGCCATCGATGCCAACGGCGGTGGCGGCGCCCGGGACTGCGGAGCCCGGCGGTGCCAGCCGGCCACCTCGCCCCACGCGAGCAAGGAGTGGTGTGGCTCGTACCAGGGTGATGTGCTTGTGTAAATGTGTCTTGATAAACGTGTGTGTCCACATTATTGTATGTTTGAGTGTGCATGCATATACATCTGTATATAGCTATGTGTACCTGTGTGCTCAACATCACTTGCCTCGAGTGTGTATGTGGAGAGCAGTAGCGGAACCGTGAGTGCACTGCGTTACAAGCCCGGCGACCCGAGTTAGATTTCCGCTCACGGCCAACAACAGTGATGATTATCTGAAACAGTTCTGGGCCTGCCCGAGGTCGACTCAGTCTCAAATGAGTACTTGGTACGAAAACATCGCTATTGGGAAGACAAAGACGGCTGGGCGTGGTGCTGGCCACCCACCCCCTCGTGCTGTGCCGGCCTTCACAGGTACTCTAAAAGCACTTTCCCCAACAGATAGTTAAGGCTATATGGGGGATCTTTGTATGTATGTGCGCAAGTCTGTGCGTGCGTGCACGTAGTGCTCTGTTGTTGGTCGCTTGACATTTTCAGCCCTTGGGCCACTTGTGTGTGAGCGTATGCATGTAAACGTGCATGTGTACACATGCGTATGTATGTGCATACACGCATGCGTGCGGGGTTCTAGCTGCCGCCGCCCTCCTCTGCCGCGTCTGCGCCCTCGTTGCTGTGGGAGTCCAGCGCCACGCGAGCTCTCCACATCCGCACCGTGCGGTCACTGTGGAGCACAGACGGCCCGTGTCACAACACAGCGGCACAACTCCACACTCGCTCAAAGCGAGCCTCTCACGGGAGGGCAGGGTGGGGGGCCAGGGGCCGCCTGGCATGAAGGAGTGATTGGGGGCCTGGTGGGATGGCAGTAGCGTGGCTGGCCTGGCCCCTGGTGCAAGAAAGAAATGGGCTCCACCCCCCCTGCCCCTCGTCCACTCACTTCCGAACCCAGAACCTAGGCCTCTGCAGCTCGTGGGCCCCTGTGCAGTTGCACCGCCTGCACACTCGACGTCTGCACCACTGCTGGAAGGGCAGGTGAGTCGATATCCCCACAGCTCCCGCGCAGCGCGGCGCGACATGAGTGAGCGCGTACGCGTGCGCCGATCCATCTACTGATACCGCTGTCTGCTGCGGACTTCCCTGACTGGTCGGTTGCACAAAACAACCCAGCGAGGATTTTCCCCGATGCATTTCTTGTCCTCACGACCAACGTCGACGTTCCGCGGTCCCCTCCTCTCCACGAGCAAGTCGGCGCCATGCTGCAGGACCGCCTCTACCGATATCGCTGTGGATGCTGTGGCCCAGCTCCGCTACGTCCGAGGCTGTGCACGCACGGTCGGTTTGTATACGCGGACGTCCGTGACGGGATTATTGACACCGCTGTTGATTTGTGTGTGATCACCGTTGTTCACTGTTCACCCTGCTTGCAGTTGAGTTCTACCGTGGGTTTCGTGTAAATAACTTGTTGTTAGTTTGCTTCTTCTTGTTGCTCTGGTTAGTTTGCTCATTCCCTCCATCTTGCAGTTTCTGAAAGCTGCCACCACTGCCCAGGTCTATGTAACTATGGATCTCTATGCAACTCTGGATCTCTAACTCCATGAAAGAGTGATGTCCTGTAACTGACGCCAATGCCGATGGTCTTGGGCTACGGTCGTTCTCGTAACAGCTGCTCGGCTCGATGGGGCCTTGCCAGCTGAAATAATAAAGCCTGAGTCTATTGTAAAATGGCTATAGAGATAGATTAGGTGTGTGGTGAGTAGTGCGGTTAGCGGTGCGGTGCAGTGAGCTGTGTGGTGAATGGCGCTCACTTGGAGGCGGTGAAGATGGAGGAGGAGTTGGTGCAGATGGCATTGATGGGGCTGTCGTGGCCGCGCAGCTCGGCGCGCAGCGCGAACGGTTCCACGTTCCACAGCTTGAGCACGCCGGCACGGCAGGCGCTCAGCAGCACCGGCTGGCCCGGCACCGCACCCAGCGCGCACACCCAGTCCTTGTGTGCGTTCGGGATTTGCTGCAGAGACGTCACAAACACGGAGAGAGTGATCTCCCTTAAGGCGACCCCCACGTGAGTGCCCTGTCTCATCACTGGCGGCCAGAGCCCCGACGCAACTCCAGGATCTCGGTGGCATCGGCTCAGCACTGACCTCCTGGCCTCCCGGTCGCCTCCCCTTGGAGTACGACCGGTCTCCCAGCGCGGCGTCGATGCGGCTGCTCGCATGAGAGGGCCGTGGGACGCAGGCTCGAACGCCCGATGGCGGCTCGGTGTCTGACACGGCCATTATGAGCCTTCCTCGCGACCCCGCCACCCCCAAGCATGGGATGTGCACGGGGAGCAGGAATCGTTGTGAGCGAGCGACTACGCACACAGACTAGGCACGCGAGGCAGTGGGTGGCCAGCTCCAAGCCCGGCCGCCTTTGTCTCCCGAGTGACGATGTTTATACACTGCACGAGGTACTCATTTGAGGCTGAGGAGGCCCAGGACCGGTTCAGATAAAAGTCGCTGGTGTTGGCCGTGGGCGGGAAGCGAACTCGGGTTTGTAGCACAGTGTACTAACCACTGCACTGCTGCTCCCCATGCATACAGGCCCTGCCCTAACCCTCACCACAGTAACAGTGGTGGTGACACGTGTGGCCTGTGCTCCAGCAGTGTGGAGGCAGCAGCGAGGGTTGGTGGATTACACACGAATATTGCGTGCACATCGAGAAAGAGCCGTACACTGGCTTGCCAGGCGAAGGCGGTACAGCAAAAGTGTGGATTCCACCTGTCCCGTCTGTGCAAGATAGAGTGCTTCCCCCTTGCACATGTGGGTTTTCTCCAAGTGCTCCAGTTTCCTCCCACACGTAAACACTCGTTAATTGGTTGCTAAGACCTTCATATATAAAGGACCGCAGAGCTTGGGTAATTGTTGGTAGGGCCGGCTCACTGCCTGGCTGCTGCCTTCCCGCTCGACCGTGGTTCCTCCTCGCGCCTCTCAAGTCGTTCTGTCTACGCGAGCGCCGAGCGGATTCCGTTCGGCGGCGCCGTGTTACCAGTTCACATTGTCACGATGGTCATAGCCCGGCCTGTGTCTGTGGTTCGAGAGCCTCTTTCTCCGAGCCGGACGGCCTCGTCACCGTGTAAGCCCGCAGCGCCCACCTGCAGGAGCTCCTGTTTGTTGAGGTCCCACTTCTTGATTCCGTTATCGCGGGAGCCGCTGAAGAGGACGTCCCCGATGACGGCGAGTGACTCGATTCCGTCGTAGTGCGGCGGCTCCATGCTCCGTGTCGGCCCAACCGTGCCCAGCGCTCCCTCCGACACTTCGAAGACCTGGTGGGCACGCACAAAGATCGCCCATAGAGCCTTCACCGGACCGTTGGGGCAAGCGCTGTTAGCGAGCATGTACTCGTGTCTTTATGTACACGACGGCACACCCACACGCAATGCTCACGCGTGCGTGTGTATGCGACAGTATGCACGCACACACTGCATGTGAGTATGTATGCGACCGCACACAAAGACGCAGGTCACACACAGACGCAGGTCACACACAGAGACGTAGGTCACACGCAGAGACGTAGGTCACACGCACGCGTGCTGCGTGCGAGTGACTGCATGCACACGCAGCACGTCGCGACGATTCCCACGTCACAAGCACACCGACATGCTCAAGCGTGGCGAGCGAGCGCCGCACTATACGTCACTGGCGTGGCGAGCGCCCTACCCGGATGTAGTGGTCCTTGGAGCCGGTGATCACTTTGCTCGTGCTGTCGGCGTTATAGTCCACGGTGAGGGTCATGACGGGGCCTGTGTGCCCGCTCAGCTTCCCCGTCGACTGGAACCTGGCGACGTGGGAACACGCGCTCGCTCAGCGACCGGCGCTCTCGTAACCGCACCTCCTTCGCCTCCTCACCAGCAATGAAGAATCGAGGTGCCACTATCAGGATGACCTCAGATGGTCGTCCCTACCAAGCACCCCCCCCCCCCCCACCACGCACCCCACGCGTTGGAGTCACACGGTCACACGATTGCGTCAGATCTCGGAAGCTAAGTCGGGAATTGAGCCTGGATAGTTGCTGAAAGGGCTACCAATATGCGTAAACCAGGTGTTGGTGGGTCACTGTGGAGCTAAGTCGTCAGCATAGGACAGAGCAGCAAAACCCAATGTTTGACTGCAGTAAACTCCCAGGTCTATGCTCCCCCCCCCCCCCACGCCCACCAACCCGCACCAATCGGCACGGTGTGTTTTCTCTGGGCGTTCTGCTTTTTCTTCCCACACGTATCATCACTTGTAGAGGACTGCACAGCTTGGGGTGGGGGGGGGGAGGAATTTGGCACCGGCTAACTGCCTGACTGTCGCTTCCTTCACACTCGTCCGTGGTTCATTCTCGCGTCTCCGAGTCCTCTCTCTCTAAGCGAGCGAGCGAACGCTGTGGCAGCGGTTGCGCGGCACAAGTTGATATTACTATCATCATCATACATTACCATAAAATAAGCCCACGTGTGTGCGAGTATGTGTAAACATCGCCACTCGTGAGGCAAAGGCGGCCGGGCGTGGTGCTGGCCACTCACCCCCTCACGTGCCACGTTGGCCTTCGTAGGCGCTCGCTAACAGCACTTGCCCCAACAACCTGTTAATGGCATTTGTTGTTGTCGCAAACAGGGGGGGATGTTTGGGTGGAGGTGCTTCGCTAAGAGCACTTGCCCCAAAAGTCTGTAAAGGCTATAGGGGGGATCCGTGTATGTGTGTGTAGGTGTTCGCCTGCAACAAGCGTCACCGCAACTTAGTGGCAAATGGCATTTGTTGTTGTCGCAAACAGCACTATTTGTGTGTTGGTGCTCAGTGATAGCACTTGCCTCACAAGTCTGTAAAGGCTATAAGGGGGGGGATCTTTGTCTTTGTGCGTGCTCACCGGTTGAGGTCCCACATGCGCACAAAGTTGCTCGCGGCGGCGTAGAGGAAGGCGCCATTGTGGCTGAGCATGATCTGGTTGATCTGACTCTCGCCGGCCGGGAAGGTGACCGTGCGATTCGACACACTGGCGCACTGGTCTCCCATGGTGACCTGTCCCGATGACCTGCGGACACCCGTTGTATAAAGACAAAGAGCCGAGTAAAGCTGGCGCGACGCGAGAGTCCGCTGTCCGGCCGGCACCTCGCACGGTGAACCGTCGTCTCCCCCGCGCTGATGTTTACGCACCACCCCAGGTGCTCATCTAAGGCTGAGTTGACCTAGGGGAGGCCCAGGACCGGTTCAGACATTATTCGCCACAGATGTTGGACTCAAATGAGTGCCTGGTACGGTGTGTGTAAAAAACATCAGCACTGGGGAGACAAAGGCAGCCGGGTGTGGTACCAGCCACCCACCCCCTCGTATGCTGTGTTGGCCTTCATAGGTGCATACAAACAGCACTTTCCACAACAGCCTGTTAAGGCTACCGGGATGGCCTTTTACTTTGTTCATACATTAGCAACTGTTGTGCTCGTGACAAAGCAAGGGGAGGGCAGAGTTAAGGATGTAATGTATGGGAAAAAAGGAATGGGAAGAGGAAAGAGAAAAGGTGGGAGATAGGAGGACAAGGATGGAAAAGGAGCGGAGAAACGGGAGCAATGAGTCAGGGAGCAGGCTGCATCAGGGCCTCGACGCTAGTGCACAGAGGAGCAGCGTCTTTTCACAGCGGGCGATGGGGAGAGGGGAGCGATTCCGAGTGGAGGTGACCACATAGGAGTCACGCGATTCACACGAGAGGCTTGCGCTCATTTCGACAGAGAGGTGTGTCCACACATTCATACGGCACATGGAGGTTGGAGTGGCTGATGCGCGCCCGCGGACGTACGGCCCAGTGCGAGCGGCGACGCTCGGCGCGGCGGGGACTTACGTGAGCGTGCGGACGCACTTGGCCGAGTCGCGGATGTCCCACACCTTGATGTACGACATGGAGACGGTGAACACGAGGCCCGAGTCGCCGCAGTACTTGACGGACACCACGTTGTTGGGGTGGCCGCCCAGCGACATGATCTCCTGACCCGTCACCAGGTTCCACACCTTGCACGTGCGGTCTGCACCGCGCACACACGCGCACGTGACGTCACTCGGTGACCTAGCCCAGAGGTAGCGCGTTCGCCGCTTGCTAGAGTGGTTGGCATCCAGCGGCCTCCCTGGTTATTACTGCAGTGCGTAATAACCGAAACGATACTACGCACCGTCTGCTTTACTCACAGTGGACGTTAAAGGTCGCGTGATGTCGGTCGCAAAGGAGCGCACTCACCCTTGGCGCCGGTGAAGAGGAGGTCGTCGGTAGCGTCTAGGCACAGCACGGCCTTGGTGTGCCCCTCGGCCACGTGCAGGCACTGCAGCGCTTGCGAGCGGTTCCCACGCCCGGCGCCGCTGTACGGGTTGATGACGCCCCTGGCGGCACGGCATGGCACGCGCCGTCACTCGCGTCGGCGCGCCGTGACTCCGGCCGCCCTCGTGGCGGCAGGGGGGCGGGGGGGGGGGGGCCGGGGGGGAGACCACCTCCCACCATCTCACCATCTCGTGCGCCAACCGCTTGGGCAACTACTCCGATATCTGAGCGGAGCTCCGCCTCGGGCGCTCTACGATTGATCCAGAGAGGGCACGGCGGCGACTACAACGCGCGGCCACGCCGCGAGAAGCGGTTCGGCCTGAGAGGTCGACCGGGATGGGAAACCGGATCGGCGTGTGCTCGGATCCACCGGTTTCTCGTCGGCGGGTTCGCGTTGTGAAATCGCAGCGCCCGTTGCAGCGTTAGCGCAGGCCCCGCGGTGAGCGGCGCGCCCTCCCGAGCGACAAAGCCATGCAAGGACACCCAGAGCAAATTAAAAATGAACGCGTTAATGCGCGCGGCACACACGGTGAGTCACACGTGACGTGGCGCCCAGGTTGCCCCCCCCCCCCCCACAGAGGGGGGGGGGGAGGAGGGCGGAGCGGCGGCGGTGGGAGCCCAGCGAGCGCCGTGCGGCAGCGTAAATCACCAAGTGACACGTGGATTGGAGCGGGAGAGAAATGAAATGAAGGGGGGGCAGAATAAACACGAAAACACCAATCCAGAAAGAGGATGGGAAGAGAACTCAATACCTGCGGAACTCTGGGTAGGAAGAGTCACTGTCATCTGACCTGGGAGAGGAAAGCATGACGCAACAGATAGGTACAGTCACGAGTAGAACTGGAAGGCCCAGACCGTGGGGAGGTAAGGCGGGCAAGTACAACGGCGCTCCGTCTCACGTGACGTCGACATCTCTTGCCGTGCTGGCACCACCGCGGCAACAAGTCGCCCTCGTCACACGCCAGCCTCGCACAGCGGTGACACGAACAGTTGGGGACGGACACGGAGCCTCGCGAGCTGACGCTGCTACCCAGTCCTCCCACCCCCACACACGCTGACCCCAACGCTATGTACAGTTGCCGCACCGAGTTTCACGCAGTTCAGTGGCTTGGAGATGGACACCGGGACACCAGGGGTAATGTGGTACCGAGTCACCAGTGTACTGAGCCACCGGGGCACCAGGGCATTGGGGCACGAGGGTCCCGAGGTACCTGGACACGTGGCATAGCAGAGTACCAGCTGGGAAGTAGGTCACTATGACACCGGCCACTCTAACTCCACCACGGCATAGGGCGGCGAGGTGTGCGCGTGCGCGTGTGCGGGGCGTGGCGCCGACTCACTTGTCGTGCGCGGGCGAGGACGGCGCCTGGGCGCTCGTCAGCCGTGAAAAGACGTTCTTGTCGGTGCGCGCACGAGGCGGGGGTGACGGCGGCGGAGTGATGCTCGCCTCCGACGTTCCCGAGTCAGACCTGCGCCGACCCCCGACGCACACAGGGGCACACGCACAACACGAACTCCATAAGCGCGGGACTCGAAGAGCGTCGCGAGCTGGCGCCCCTAGCCGATACCCGCACGCGTTGACTGTCACGCTCCCTGTGGAGCTGCTTCCCCAAGGCTGGCATAATTTAGCGGCTTAGAAGCCGATACCGGGGCACCGGGTCACCAGCGTACCCGGTCACCCATGGTACCAGGCGCCTCATGGTAACTCACTGTTTCTGGTCGCGCTTGGCTCGGTCGGCGTTCTTGTCAAGCGTCTTGCGCCTGCCGAGGAGCGGCGACGGCTCGGTGCTCCTCCTCTCCGAGCCGGTCGACGGCGTTCTGCTGCTGCGCGCAACAAGAGGGTATCGTCAGAACTAGCGTCCGCACACGCCGAGGGCGGGAACCACGCTCGCCTCGGCGGCCGGGCGTCCGCTGTTGCCCGGCGACGAACGCCCGCTGCAAGCGGCCCCAGGCATGCTGCACGCAGATGCGCCTGCGCTCCCCGCCCCCCACACAACCATGCACCTTGCTCCGTGCTCCCTGCTCCACGCGTGCTCCACAAGGTCCCAGTGCCACCGTAGCTGCCTGACCACGGCGGCAAGTAAACGCGAGCGGCAACGCGGATAAACACCGGCAGCGGCGGCAGTAGCCAGCACCCGATGTGAACCCGTGTCTCACGCGGGCAGTCGCATAGCAAATGGGTGTGCAGGCGGTGTGACTGCGATGCCAGAGAGAGGCCCAGGTGCTGGACTAAGAAGAGGGACCCATGCTTCCCACGCTGCGCGCAGGCTCGGAGGAAGCGTCACGTGCGTGAACATCGCAGCGTTCAAGCATCGTGGGGCGCCCGCGATTATCGGGTTAATTTGCGAGCAGGACCACATTTCGACGACCGCAATTACAAATCATCCAAGGTGAACGGGCTGGTAATTGGGAAATGTGTGGCTGTAAATGTAATTTGCTCGTAATTATAATGCAGTCCAAAGCGTGCGGTGACGTTAATAACCGCACACGCCGCGGGCGACAAGGAGGCGCAGCGTCCCGTCGCGCACAGCCACGCGGTGCACGCTCCCGCGCAGAGGCACGAGAGGCAACACCTGTGGCAGCGCACCACGGCCACCCCCTCCCGCCCGGTCCCCAGGGCCGCCGCCGCCGCTGGCCTCCACCCGGGGGGGGTCCCGCACGCCACGGCCGCCCCTGTCCAACCACCCCACGCCAGGAGGCCACGGCTTCCCGGGTCCGCAGGTGCCGCGCTCACGCGGCCGATGGGGGAGGCCGCCACCGCCGCTCCACCTCCGCCGTCGCCTCCATGCCTCTGGCGGCTAGCGCCCAACGCAAGGCCCGCTCGGGGGAGTTAAAAGTGAGCTCAAGACTCCGGTGAAAGTTGGTGGCGGACGCGGCCCAATGCGCCGCACGACGGCTCCAGGTGCCGTAGGTGCGCCCCCGGGGGCTGTGTGGCCATCGGCCGCCCCACACGGGGTGGGAAGCCGAGTTGATATAAAGTAGACTCGAGAGCTGCGGTCAGACGCGCTATCAGGGCACTCAGCGGAGCGGTTCATTTGTAAAAACACAGACGGAGAACGCTCTTCAGTGAGCTAATTATGTAACGTGTGATTCACAATGAGTTTCTGTTTGTGTCAGATCGTCGCATAGGTTATGATCAAAATGTTTCCCCTAGATCCCTCCACTACCCAGCGGCAGAGCCAATTGAGTTGTCACGTCGTGGCCAACGGCGACGATCGATTTTGTTTTTCAGCAAAGCCAACGGGGGTGGAGGAGGGGGGGAGGTACGTTCAAAAGTCCAAGCAACATTTTTGACAACTTTGCCTCACGTTGCGCTGGAGATCCCACGAAGCATCGTCGTAAGGCGTTAACAATATTACGAATCGTAATATTGGTGGCGAATGCCTTCGTGTAACATGTACATTATAACTGTGTTTCAGGAGGAAGGAACTCCTTGTGACGATAGTCGTTCTACAGCACAGTGGGGCGCTCTGTAGCAGCGAGCACCGACGCCGTGACATCGCTCCCGGTACTTGTAATGCGACGCCTCCATGGAGACCTTCCCGTGGCTACGGTCCCCCGCTTTCTCACGAGCGAGGCTCCACACGGCGCCCGTCGGTGGTCCATGCTCGATCGAGCGCCGCTCACCTGCTGTTCACAGCCTTGCAGACCCCAACGGTGGAAATTCTACATTCCTAAGACGGGGAACACTGTAACTCAATTTACTGACCCCCCCCCCCCCGAGGGATGGTCAGTTGAGCCAATCCTACCGAACCCTGGATTTAACGTCGCAACCTTCCGATTGGGCACCGCTCGTCGAGCGCTGCGTTGGCCACCTGGGTGCCCAGTACGCGGCCTCGGTGTTCATCGACAGCGGCCGTCTGTGCGTCGGGCTGCGTCGTCCTGGACGGTGCCGTGGCGGTGTCGGTGTGCGCCGGCCCGGTAGCGGAAACCAGCAATGCAACTTCCCCCCCACCCCCGCCCCCCGTGGGTTCCTCCACCTGTATGGAGGTCTCGCTCTACTGGACCCGACTGTGTCATCTCGCCACACTGTGTTCACCCACCACGCTGCTAGTCACCACCCACTCACCCACCCACTGAGTCATCCATTCACCCGCAACTCACTCACTCACCCACCCATCCACCCACTCACCTTACTCATTCACCCACCCACTCACTCACCTACTCACCCACTTACTCACTCACTCAACCACTCAACTACCCACCCACCACGCTGCGAGTCACAACACCACCCACTCATCCACCCACCGAGTCATCCACTCATCCACCCACAACTCACTCACCCACCCATCCACAACTCACTCACCCACCCATCCACCCACTCACTCACTCACCTACTCACCCACTCACCTATTCACCAACCCACCACACTGCAGGTCACAACACTTCCCTTCCTGCTTCTTCCCTTACACTGCTCCACTGTGAAACGCCACGTATACACACACACATACGATACACACTCACCATACACACTCACCACACACACTCACCACACACACTCACCACACACACTCACCACACACACCACACACACTCACCACACACACTGCCCATACAGGCCATCACTGCGGCCGCTCTATCGGACAGCACGGCCAGCAATGGAGGATTCACCCATGACGGTTGAGAGAATAATTTCACTCTTGTTTCTCGCTCGCAACAGGAAACACGTGGCGGTCATAAAGGCAGCACTCATTGTCCAGGCTTCGCGGCGACGACGACGAGAGTTATAAAGTAATGTCGCGCGATCACGGTGCAGGTGCGGAGCGGGTCGCCCGGGCCCATGAGCCCAACCCCCGTGGTCACGCCAAGGCCGTTCTCGCGCCAGGGCTGGGGCCTGGCGCTGTCTACGGTATGAGACGTGCGAGGAACGACCGATTACACGGAGAACGCGTTCGCTTCTTCTCCTCCGGAATGCGCGTCCATCATCGGCGCCACGCCGATGCCAGTTAAACACGTCGCTTAACGCGCCCGCCTGCCACGTGAACCAACGGCTCCGATTCTCTCGCAATGAGTCGCCGCCAGTGCCGCCGCATCAGGGATCTGTCAGTATCCCGGTGGATTTAAAGCCCACACAGGTGGCGGCGCCAACACTTTCTCCAACTAACTCGGGTGGCGACGTGCGCACAGACAACACGCGCATACAGAGAACACACAGACAACACGCGCACATAGGGGCATGTGCCCCGAGCTTTAGTGATGACCTTGGGAGAGTTGGTGCGGCGCGGTGGAACAGCCGGAGAGGTGGCGCGGAGCGAGCGAGTTGAATCTGTTGAGAGTTGAGTCTGTAGTGAGTTTGTCCGTAGTGAGCGAGTTGTGGCTGCAGTGAGCGGAGTCTGTAGTGAGCGAGTTGAGTCAGTGTCAATGGTGTGATCGGCCAGCCCGCTACTCACTGGCCGTTCCCCTGTCGCGGGGACTGGCACGAGGGCTCCCACGCGGTGCTGACGTTGTTGGAGGGGCTAGCCACGTGCGGGCCACGCGGCTCCCGCTCGCCCCCGTTCTCCTGCAGCTCCGCCACGGGCAGAAGCAGCGCGAGGGCGCCGCCGCTGCCGGTCCGCGCCGCCGCCACGCCCGTCCCTCCCGGCGCTACCGCCGCGTCCGGGGCGGGCGACGGCGCCGGGCACTCGCTGCCCGCGTACAGCATGTCCTTCTGCGTGGCCGCCCGCCGCCGAGCCTAAGCCACGCAGCCCCGCGGAGTGGGGGGGGGTGCGACGAATGTCAAGGCTCTGATGTTCGGCAAATTAAATGTGAGAGCGGTCGGGCGACGAAGAGGTCAGAGCGCGGGGTCGTCACCGCTGCCGGGATCCTACTGCTGCCGCCACCGGCTACTTTTTAAACGACTTCTCAAATGCAGCAGGTTGATAGTCTTGGCCTGGTCACCCCTACCAATGAGCGGCGAACGCGCCACTGCTGGGCCGTGTCACTGCCTAACCTTCGTGCGGCTCCGTTCGGCACGTCCCTTGCTGCTGGCTGATTTAACGTTTCTCTCACAACTCTGCGTTACATTAAATTATATTCACCAGCGTGGAGCGGTTGCGCCGTGGTTGGCACATTACGCAATGAACCCGGCGACCTGAGTTCAATTCCCCTCCGCGACTAAAGCCAGCGGCGACCGTTAACATCTGAACCAGTCCGAGGCACGCACCGCCCCTTCGCCGATTATCACCGACTGGCACGGTGGGGTACGGTCCAACGTTCAAGTGCGTGGTCATTACGTGTTTGCTATGTACCTTGTCTCTGGGTTTGCCCTCGCCCGGAGCGCTGCCTTTGGACGTCTCCAAGCCCTGCAGTCTGCAGCGGTGCACAGCAGCGCCCACCGTCGCATGCGGCAAAGCCAGCGGCAGAGTGGACAATGATCAGCGCCACTTCAGCAACGCGAGCCGCATTATTTCCGCGAGCATTGTGTTTATTTAGAAATTTACACCAGCTGCGTGTGCGAGTGTGTGTCTAAGACCGTAGTGTAGCGGTTAGCGCGTTGCGCTACGAGCCCGGCGACCCGGGTTCGATTCCCGCTCAAGGCCAACATCAGTAGCGATTATCTGAACCGGTCCTGGGCCTCACCTAGGTCAACTCAGCCTCAAATGAGTACCTGATGGGGTGTTTAAAGATCAGCACTAGGGAGACAAAGGGGGCTGGGCGTGGTGCTGGCCACTGCTGGGCCTTGGCTCTACAGGTGACTGAGCACACACAAATGAGAAACAGCGCTGTTGCCAGGTAAAAAATATTCCCCTCCAGTACCCCGCGAGCACGGCTAGGACGCCTGCGGTGACAGACTCGTATCGTTTGTGGGCCATTTCTAAGTGGTACGCCTCGCGTGGCTGCAGGCCCACACGAAATCGACTCTTGGGCTGTGCCCGGCCTGTGGATCGTTGGTTCTGTGCCCTCGCCGTGGTGGTTTAGAGTGAGAGTGTGCGGTGCGGTATGGTGCTCACACAGCCATGCCCGCGGTGGGATGCACCAACTCGTCCTCGCTGCTGTCCTCCGCATCTGCAGCCGACACAACCGCACGGTTGGGGGGGGGAGTGGAGTGGGCGACGCGTCAAGCGGATCGCGGCGCCGGCGCGGCGCCATCATTCCCACGAGAAAGCACTGCCGCCGGGCCCCGTTGGCTGCACTGCCTTCGCCGCACGCTTCCTCAACGACACGTCTATCCTGCTTTGCGCTCTACCCTGAACCAGACTCCATGCTCGCCGGGAAACGCGGTTCGGCACCGTGCCCGGCGCTGCACTAAAGTGCGCGTCCTGCACAGCAGTTGGCCCTCGCCGCTGCTAGGAGGTCAGATCAATCAGACTTGGCCCTGGCGCAAGCAATCAAGCGGGGTCCCCCCCATCCGATTTCCCCCTTCCTCCAGCACGTGGGGCGCATTCGAAATTCATCGCAGCAGCGCTGCACTGGCTGTGCAGAGAGGCATCCCGCAACGCGGGCAGGTCTTTCACGAAGTGGGCATCGCATCGTGGGTCCAGGACGGGAGCCGGGCAAAGAGAAGGCGATAAACGGTGAGGCCCCCCTCCTCTTGCTCTGCCCGGTGACCATCAAACTATAAATTGGGCTTTGCAGACCTTTACGCTACGCTGCGGCAAGCACGGCTATTATGCATGCAGCGAGCGATCATAGCCTGCGACAGCCCTGAATGTGGAGATTTACGGGCGAATCTGGGACCTCGCCAGCGCTGGCATAAACACGATAATAACCGCGCGAGCGCCGGCGTCGCGTGCCATCGCCGAACCAGCGAGGAACCCCCACTTGCAGGAGCCGGTGCGAGCCCCCCTCTCTGCCCGTGTGTGCGGTAAGCGATGCGGCGCGCACACACGGCTCGTCTATCTTTAACCGAATTACACAAACCCGTACGTGACCACGGTCGGGCAGTGCTCCCTCGAAGTCGGACGGCCCTGCGGAGAATTCCGATTCAAGAATTTACAGTGTGCCGACGGCATTGGATTGCATCGTTAAGAGAGAGACGTTCACTTGGGCAGCACGGCCTGGTAGAGAGCCAGGGTAGAGGAAGAGGGCTGCCCACTGGGTTAGCTGAGAGGAGGATGTGTTACTGTGGGGTTGGACAGGACAGCCGGAACAGGGAGGACAGTGTACAGCCTCACGAGGCATTCCCATGCTTGAACGCTTGATGTGAGTGCACGTGCGTGTGTGTGCGCGTCTGCGTGCTTGCGAGACAGTTATTTTCGTCTCATAGGTGTCCTCAGTCGGGTTACAGATACGCCGATGCCACAGCAGCAGCAGCAGCCGAACCCCCAGGGTGGACCCCTGGGCTGTGCATCATGCAGGTGAGTACATCAGGCAAAGTTACGCACGTTCAGCTCACGCACATGGTGGGGGGCCTCCAACCCGAAACCTGACCCCCAAAAAAACGCAGAATCTACCCTGCATTTGGTGCGGTGCAGGCGAAGCCTTTACAAGGTCGTAAATGAGCATTGCCAACTCGGCGATTTTGTCGCCAAATCCAGTGACCTTTTCGGTTTTCCAAGTGGCAAAATGTCGTCAAAGCATCTGGTGACAAAGCCAGCGACTTTCTAGGACGAGGACACAATGCAGATTTAGGGGCGATCCCAGGTTCACGTTCAGGATCCCGTATTGGTGCACCGTGAGTAATACTCGGCACATTCTCTTGTGACGGTAACATTACAGGTTCTACATGGCGACGTCTCACCACGTGCTGAGGTTCGCTTGGCGACTATCCGCTTTACGGAGTTGGCAACGCTGCTCCACCTGCACGCTCACCTGCGTGCATCAGCCACAGGGTGTTGTGGGGGTAGGGGGGTGGCAGGTACGGTTGGAGTCCCCCCATCTCCGTGCGCACTCACTCGCCGCTTAGCGGGGTTATGGTTGCACGAGCGTGGAGGGGCGCGGTCTCGGGTCCTCCCAGGTCGAGCACAACTCCCCCGTCGGTAAAGCTTCGTCAATCTCACGCCGGAGGCTTTCGCAGGCCGCTCGTTGTCCAAGTGCGGCCCTCCTGGCCGGCCCGCGTGTCGAACAGTTCCTCTCTCAAGCTTTCGGCACACGCTACCGTGGGCACGTTAGTCATGATAATAATGTCAACTGGTAAGACTGAGCTGCTGCCGCCACTACCGCCGCTGCGTTCGGTCACTCTCGTAGAGAGACGACGACTCGAGGCGCAAGGAGGAACCGCAGACGAGCAGGAAAGGCAGCCAGCCGATGAGCAGCAGCCAAATTTCCTGTCCTCAAGGTCTGCGCTTTTCTATATATTAAGGTGTTATTGGCCAATTCGTGAGTGTTTTCATGTGGGCAGGTTGCCAGAGCGCCCGGAAAAATACCTACGCACGCGAGGCGGGGGGGACAACCCTCTATCTCATCCAGGCGAGCAAGAGTGTGGCTCCTCCTTGATGCTCACAGGAAGGGCGTATCACAACATTCGTGTGATCCACGAACCCTCGCCTCCACAGCACTGGGTTACAGGCCGCGTGCGGCGTAGCCACCGCCGCCCGGCTTCCGGAGTTGAATCGCTGCTCCGGTCTCCTCACCTCACAACTCCTGCGTGGCCACAGCTTGAGTGAAGGAGCGATCAACACGCGGTCTAACCCAGGGCGACCACCGCGAGCCGCTCGCTGCGATTAAACACAAATCTAGACGGGCGGCGAAGCCAAGGGACTCGTGCTGCCCTGTGGACGCGTGCCCGTGCCACGCGTCGTCTCTCCCACAACGTTCCAAACTTTGTTAATGAATAGAAAAAAACCCTTTAAAGCCACGGTCCAGAGCTTCCGTCATACCGCCCTAAGTGATGCCTTTGCCATAACGCTGCATTAAATCACGCGGCAGTGACGTCATCACGGTGATGTCGATCGAGTGCCATCATGACATGCTCAGTATAACAATAAGGGTTATTATTTCGCTTGTTTACCTAGGAAAGCCTCCTGGATGACTGGATATCTGTGAAAAAGATATTCATGGCTAATCAGATGACTCCAGTATAAATACATAATCTCATTCTGAGCCTCGCTTAGTCTCCACTCAATTTTAAGAGGGTCCTGCCAAGTTTTCGCAGTAGGGGGCGATGTTGATTTATGAATCTGGAGGTGATATTTTAGCATTGGGATGTTTTGGCCAATATCAGTTACATTATACATGGGGTTTTTTAGCTCTGGGAGGAATCCAGAAAACCTGGAGGAAACCCACGCAGAGAGGCACCTGACTGGGGAATCGAGACACGAGCGTTACCACCACGTCACCCTGCCGCTTACAACACAGAAGTGTATTTTTCCACGAACAAAGTTTGGAACTCGAGTCGGACATCCCGGACGCCTAGCCCAAGAACTCATCTCTAAGATGAGAATCGTCCTTTGAAAGGGTCGCCACTTCCTCGAGCGGTGGAGTTGTGCTTTCGACGCGGGAGGACGACGAGACAGCGCCCCCCCGCCCCCCAACTCCCATGGGGGGGCAGCGGCGACGCAGTCAAGCGGAGTTGCCACATGCAGCCATGCCGTCCGTGTCGCAGCTCTGTTACACAAGAGCGCCGCCTTACTTACCCAATTCTAAGTTACGCAGCTCTGTGTGACAGGAACACACGGGGGGGACAAGCACACGCTCAAATCACATTGCACTGCACGCCGAGACGAAAGCTCGCACGCCAATCACATCGCACAGTACTGCAATGCAAGCCCACGCAACGTTCAGATTGCACAACACCGCACACTGGATGCAAGCTCACGCACCAATCGGACCGCACGGCACTGCACGCTGCAAGCTGGCGCTCCAGGAGCCTGGAGGACAGGAGCCAATGGGAAAGACACCAGGAGCGTCCGCAACTATTGGTCGACCGCTTCACGACATGTGTTTCTCCACGCACCCCGAGGCTGCTCCCCCAGCCCTTTTCTAACGGAACAGATATGAACTCGCACCTTGTGCTCCGAGCAGGCCAATACCAGTTCAAATCGTTCGTGAGAACGTGTTATTTTAAAGATTTCGACGAGGCTCTCCGTCACAGCACTCCGCATTACGACGCCGTCTCAGAGTGTGTCTGTGCACTTTGATTGGCGCAGGTGCTGGGGGGAGGACGGGGAGGCAAACGACCAATCAGCAGCAGCCGCAGCAGCTCACACCGAGCCGCCACCTTCATACAGCCCCAAACGACGTCACACAGGGCGCCAACCCAGCTCCCAAGCGTCACCCACACAGAGCCCAGAGCATGCGCACCACCACCACCACGCTCCGCAGAGCCGCACGCGCGCAACCCTCACCGCCGCCGCACATCCCGAGACATGCGACTCATTTACCCAGGAAAGCTCCATCGAGTCTCAAGACTCTTTTTTCAGGAGAGTCGTGCCAAGTATTTCGCAGTAGGGGGTGATGGTGCTGTGTGTAATCTCAATTAAGTAATCTGCAGGTTATTTTAGCATTTTTATGTCTGGCCAATACCAGTTACATTGTACGCTTTGTTTAGCTACAGGAGGAAACTGGAGAACGCAGAAAAAACCCACGCAGCACAGGCGCCCGAGTCGGGAATCGAGCCCGGGCACTACTTGCCACGAGGCACGAGTGTCACCACTGCGTGCTGGTAGACTGGAGTAGGTAGTACGCGACCAGGCGTAGCCACAGCCAAAGTTAGAGGTACACCGAACGTGGTGTGCCGGGCGTAGATATATTTTCCGGGTCAGAGACCCAGACACACGTCTGAAATGAATCCCTTGGCAACGGGGCAGGTGTGAATCGATTGACCCGCCCCCCCCCCCCCCCCCCCCCCCCCCCCACAGCGATGCTACAAGATCCGTCACGATGCGGAGCAGCGATTCAACGATGACCTTCGTCCCGATGCTGTTCGAGTTGCACTCTCTCCTGGGCGACACGAGTCTCATCGGTATTGTCGCTATCCACTCTATTGTCCGTATCGATTGCATGGTTTGCACTGTCCACCTCGCGTGTTCCGTCCCTCCCGTTTGCTCCGTTAGCTCGAATGTGGATAATCGTGAATTTTCGTAAATCGCGTGCACAATTCGTCTTTATGCAGAATTACGTGACGACTAGCTAGACAGGGCACGCACGCACGCGGCAGGCAGAGCCCGCAGCGTCTGTGCACACGCACGACTGGCGTACAAAAACCGCAGTCGTCCACGCACGGAGTTTACAAACAGTAACATCAGGGGTAGCGACGGCGTCGGCACCGCGGGAGTCGAGATTTCTCTCTCATAATCTCGCGCAGCAACGTGAACGTGGTTTCCCCCACGGAGCGAGTTTGGGTGGCTCGGCTCTCCGGTGTCACCCACGTCCTGGCAGGGAGCAGCGGGTGATTTGTGAACCCCGCAGGCAACGAGGGTGCCGTCAGCGGGGCGACACCACCGCGAAGTTCCCCGCGTGGGAGGCTCGCTAGCGCGCAAGAGGCTCCCCGCGTGGGAGACTCTTGTTGGCTCGCCACGCAGGGTTAATGCGAGCACCTGCCTGTGACTTGCACGTCCTTCGCAATGCGCTGCATGCAAAGTGATTTATCGCCGTGACATTAGCGTCGACGCAGGGCTGGGACTGTGGGACATTTAACGCACGGCTTCATAATATCACCATGGAATTATGGGAATGAAAATAACGTTGGGCCGTCTGAGTATTGGGTGTAAACCAAGCCAAGCAACACAAACGCACACACAACTCCACGGCTGTGAGTTCTCCAATCCACGCTCTGCTGCGTCGAGCTACGGATTTAAGCGACGGTCCCCTGCCAATTTTTCAAATCTCTTACCACACTCCGAGATTCAACGTTAATCAGACCGCTTCATGAAATCTAAAGAAATGAATCGCACTGAAATTTTTGCTTCGAAATTCGGAACGCGGTGAGAAGGGTTTAGGGACGGGCAGCCTTCCGTCCGAATCGGTAGCGCGGTCCACGCAACCCAGCACCATCGAACCGAGGCAGAGGCCGAGTGCACCCAGGGTCACCACGCCGGCGCCGTCGTCTCGGCACAGCGGCGGCGCCCGCATGTCCCCGGGGCCGCGTGACCTCCACCACGGACGGCGCACGCGGCATCGCCAGCCCTGATCCCCGCTGGACTGGAACCACGGCTGCACCGTTGATTGCTCGCGGGTGTGTGAATGCGTTTTGTGTGTGCGCGTGCGTGTGGGCATGTGCACGCGAAGAGCAGTGGTGCAGTGGTTCGTGGACCACTACAAACTCGGTGACCTGGGTGCAATTATCAGCCGCGGCTAACACCAGTGGTGATTATATGAACCTGCTCTAGGTCTCCCCGAAAGTCAACTCAGCCTTCGGGGCATGGCGTATAAATGCCGGCAGCAGGGAGGCAGAGGCGGCCGGGCCCGGTTTTTTCCAGCCCACACCACCCCCCTCTCGCGTGCTGTGCTGACACGGGGGGGGTGGGGGGGGTGGGGGGATCCGCGTCGCTGTGTCCGTGTGTGTGAGTGGGCACCTTGCAGCGCGTTCCCCAGGAGCGCCTCCAGCTCGGGGTTCACCTCGGCCTTCTCCTTGAGCATGTGAAAGAGCAGCTGGCTCTGCGTGAAGCTGTTGATCTCAGTCTGCTTCAGCTTCCCTTCCAGCACCTTCACCTGAGACTCGTTCTGCGCCGCCAGCAAGCCCTGGCGGGGCGCGGGTGGCCGGAGGGCCAATCAGCTCAAGTAGGAGGAGTGGGAGAGGGGTCGTATCTGCACAGATTATACCTGCTGGGGTCATATCTGCTGGAGAATGTACGGAGGGGAGTAGAGTGAGATGAGCGTGAAGAGGTAGGAGAGGACGTGGAGGCACCGACCTTGCTGATGGTGATGGAGAGGAAGTGCTCCAGCAGGTACCGCGCCTCTGTGAGCGAGCACGAGCTGATGATGGCGACCGTGTTCGTGTTCTCGCTCTCGTCCTCCTGGGCGCCAACCACACGACGGAGGCGTTCACACGCGCGTCCCGCCCATGCGTGTGTCCGCGCGTGCACGCATGCGCGCGTGCGTGCAGGTGCGTGCGGGTGCGTGCGGGTGCGTGCGGGTGCGTGCGGGTGCGTGCGGGTGCGTGCGGGTGCGTGCGGGTGCGTGTGTGCCGCGAGGGCCACCGTCGCCGCTCAGAAGCCGCACCTTGGCCTCCTCCATCTGCATGATGTTGGCCTGGCAGTCCGAGATGCTCTCGTTGATGTAGTCGATGTTCGCCGTCAGGTTCTCCAGGTCCTCGCCCAACGTCGCCAGCATCTGCGCGTCCTCGGGGCCGGCCTCGAGCAGCCGATCGCGTCGCCGGCTCAGCCGGTCCCACTGCCGCGTCAGCTCCTCGCGTTGCTGTGGGGGCAAGGGATGGGAGTGGGGGCGAGGGGCACCAGCGTATTACACCGCCGCCTACGTGGCTCTTCCGTACAAACGGGGGAACACTAGGCCCCCCCTTCCTGAGATGAACACGCACGGCCCGTTTGTCAACCCGTGGAGGTCATTTCGCCATACCTCACCAGGCTGGTCAGTGCGGGTTGGCGAAGGCGGGGAATGCCGCCCACTGACGCCTGCGACCTTTCCCCCTGCAGGAGCCTAGAGCACCTGCTTTATGCACAGTGAGTCGCTCATCTGAGCACTACCAGTAACTGGCTGAAAACGTCCGAATATATAGGGGACTGCAGAGCTTGAGCAATTGTTGGCACAGGGTTTACTGCCTGGCTTCATTCTTTCCCCCTCGTCTGTGGTTCCTCCTGGGGCCTCGGAGTCAGCCTCTCTCTCTATGCGAGCGATTGAGCGGATAATGTTTCGGTGGCAGTACGTTACAAGTTTACATTATTATTATCCAGGCTCTGAGATATGATGGGTCTTAGGCCCTATTGAACGGTTACAATGATGTACAAATCAACAGGGCACTGAATGCCAAAACCAAATCAAACAGGACAAGCGTTGAAACTGACCAAGCAATTCAAACTATTAAAATACCATGCATCACGGGAGTAACTGATAAACATGTTTAATTTCACTTCCCAGACTATCACCATCTGAAAATGTTCTGCCAGACCCGCCACTCACCTTGAGCAGCCGGTTCATGTCGGCCTCCATGTTGGTGATGGTCATCTTGCGCATGACGACGTCGGTGATGCGCCGCTCCAGAGCCTGCCACTTGACGCGCGCTGAGCGTGACGAGTAACTGCTCACGCCCTTGCGCAAGTGCTTCTTCCTGCTGCAGGCGAGGCGCACGGGGGGGGGAGGGGTACACGGGGGACACACGGGGGGCGAGGGATGGAACAAGCGCCGTTGCCGGTTCATGACGCGAATGACGCAGCACGGCTCGGCAGCCTGGTGTAGGCCGGCCGCATATAACCAAGGGATGAAGCGAGTTTCTCATTTTCGGAAGACAGAATCGACCCGGCGACCTCTGGATCGCATGTCCGGCATGCCACACGCACACGTGAATTTTACGTCAACGACTCACTACGCACGTGTCTAGGCTGGTAGTCAGGGTCACTACCGAAGGGGAGGGACCGCCCCGTGAGTTCGGTACCTGCCGCCCAGCGCTCACCTCGCCGTGGCGGAGGCTGCGCTGGCGATGGCCGTTTGCTGCCGCGCGCTGAGCACACGGCCCCGCGACGGCGCGGTGGCGGCGGCGGCGGCGGCGGCGGCGTCCTGGTCGGAGGAGCCCGTGGTGGCCGAGACGTCCACCCCGGAGTCGCCCAGCACGTGAAGACGCCGGCTCACCTTGCCGGACACCGGCTTGGCGATCCGCCGTAACGCCGTCACCTGTCGGGACACCACCACAACGCCGCCGCGTTAACGCTGCTGGTTCCCGGCACAGAGCCCCCCTTCCCCCACCATGTCGCTCCCACAGCTCCTAGAGCACGCGCCCACGCACGGCGCGTCTGCCAATCCACTGCTGGATGGGGGCTTCCCCGCGCCGCGCAGGTCGGGCGGGTTGATCGTACTTCACCATGCTGGCCGGTGCGGGGAGCGTAGAAGTGCAGTGCAACAATAGATTTTTTGCTCTGCCCACTCTGCCGGCCGCCATGAATCCCCGCAGGCTCACGGCGACCTGACCTGAACACGCACGGTGGTGGTCCATCCGAACGATATCCAAGCTCAAACCCTTGCTTAGCTTTTTGGGATCTGACGCGAACGGGGGCGCGCGCAAGAGAGAGCGACACGCTTCGCTGTGACGCTCCGGATCCGGTGATGCAAGACGGAGGTTGTGAACCTCACAAGGCTCTCACCTGGCTCAGCCAAAAACGTCAGACTGCTGGAGACCCAGCCGCGGTAATGTGAGACACGTCGCTATTTGTGGTGCTAACCTAGTACACCTGCAATGATGGACTAACTTTGTGCCAATGTTGGGCCAATTTTGTGCCAACTTTGGGCCGATGTTTTATGTTTGCTGGGAAGGCAATCACCCTTGCTTCATGATTCATTTACGTACATCATGTAACCAGGAGACAGACCATTATGTTATATTATCCTTTTTGCATTACCAATATTATTTTGCTTGATTACCCAGCAAGTTTCGTTAATCAGGAGGGTCCTGACAAGTTTTCGCAGTAGGGGGTGTGATGATGGCTACTGTGTGTGTATTCTAAATAAGTAATTTGTGCTGTAATTTTTGTGCAAAATGGCAAATTTGGACCACGGCAATTGCACACAATGGCCTCCGCTTCCGAATAGCACCACGGGGATCTTAAACGAGCAATGTCAAGCGGTGGATTTCAACTCCGACGTACCTCTACAGCAAGTGCCGAAAGCGCTACTGCTATGTTAGGTGCAGAGGGGGTCTGGGTGCAGAGGGGATCTGGGTGCAGAGGGGTTCTGGATGCAGAGGGGATCCGGGTGCAGGGGGATCTGGATGCAGGGGGTCTGGATACAGAGGTGATCTAGGTACAGAGGGGATCTGGATGCAGAGGGGATCTAGGTGCAGAGGGGATCTGGGTGCAGAGAGGATCTGGGTGCAGAGGGGATCTGGGTGTAGAGGGGATCTAGGTGCAGAGGGGATCTGGGTGCAGAGGGGATCTGGGTGCAGAGGGGATCTGGGTGCAGAGAGGATCTGGGTGCAGAGGGGATCTGGGTGCAGAGGGGATCTAGGTGCAGAGGGGATCTGGGTGCAGAGGGGATCTGGGTGCTGCACGGGGGTCCTGGGTGACTACTGAGAAGGGGCGGGTTGTATTGTTTCGCTCCACTTCACGCTGCCACCCGTGGCCTGCACCGCGTGGCCCACGGCGCGCGGGGGCGCCACACGCCGAGCAAGTTAATGCATGAGAGCAGAGACCTCCTCGGTTTTCCTCCGCAGGATGAGGTCCTGCTGTCGCTTCTGGGCCTCCAGAGATTTGATGTGATACTGAAACACAGCAGGCACAACAGTGAGCACGGCCTTAACAGCGGAATACTTCTGTATAGATCAGCCGCAATACTAATAATAACGTAACACGTGCGGTATTCGCGCTTTCATTCTCGTGGCGCAGGGCGATCGTCACGGAGGAAAGCGCCGCTGTGTTTGACAGACGCCGCCTGCGGTACTTTCACAGTATGGGACGATGTTGCTATGCGGTCTCACCGAGGGCACCCCCAGTGGCAGCTGTCCCTGCCAGTAGGTCACAACAAACGCTCCTCGATGTGTAATCCAAACCGAGTAATTTGCAGAGTCATTTTTTCAAATTTGGTGAATTTGGATCGTGATGTCGGCACGCGACGGCCGACAATGTTTCGAATGTGTTCGCGGGATCATTAACGTCCGCAGTAAAGCAGACGGCGCGTGGCGTTTTACGGTTGATGCGCACCGCAGCGATAACGGAAGGCTATGAAGCCAATGCCCGAAACGTCGCCAATTCTAAAATAAAAATATTTGAAGGCCAGATACACGCGATGTTGTTATTGACGAAAGTGTTGCGTTGCTTTGTTCACTGTGATTGTGCACCACTGCCAACGCAGTAGCAGCAGCAAATAATTCAACGAGGGTGGCCTGTCGGCTTCCAACCACGCATATGTAAATGACCACACCGACCCCTGCGTGTGTCAGAGACTGCCCCCACCACCCACCTCCTGCTTGCGCTGGTCCTTCTTGAGCTGCGCGATCTCCCTGTTGCGCCTCATCTCCACCGCGCGGGTCTTCTCCTGCTCCTCTCGCATCTGCTTCATCAGCCGTACCTGCGCGGTCCACGCGTGGCGTCGTTATTACCACCACGCTCGTTCACGCAGGAGAGCCTCGCCGAGTCCTGAGACTCTTTGTTAGGAGGCTGCTGCCGAGCGTTCGCAACAGGGGACAGATGGTTGCTGCTGTGCGTTTAACCAACTGAGTAATTCGCGGCGATGCTGCGTAGTATTTTTTGTGGTTAATACACACCGCAGTATTAACCAGGCCGGCCAGCCGAATTCAAACCCCGTCCCTGCAACAAGCACACGTCCGAGCTTCGTTTGCCCCCATACCTTTGTCTTCTTCATCTCGGCCACCTCCTGCTGCAGCTTCTTGAGCTGGCGCTCGTACTGGGACTGGTTCTTGAGCATGCGCGCGTGCTCTTTCTGCGCTGCATGTAGCTTCTGCAGCTCCTTGTTCATGGCCTGCAGCCGCTTCTCATACTCCACGCGCACTTTGTTGGCCTTGTCCTCCGTGTGGCTCTCCATGGAGCCTGCATTGAGCGCACGAGCGAGCGAGCGGAGCGCTCCTTCAGCACGGCCGCCGCGACTTCCCGCACCAGACGCCGACCTCGCCAATCCGAGCGATTTTGTTGTTTGATGGAGCAACAACATTCTGTCCAAGGGACTAGCGATAAACGACTGTTTGGGATAATAATAGCAATGTGGACTCACCACCGCAGAATCATTGTTCGTTCAACAGGCACAAGGAAGAGGAACTACAAATAAGCGGGAAAGGCAACAGCCACGCGGTGAGCTGTTACTACCAACCTTTGTGGTCCTCTATATATTAAGATGTTTCCAGCCAATTAAGAGTCATTTACATCTGGGCAAGAAGCTCGAGCACCCAGAGAACACTCCTGGATTGCAAGGATAATGACGCTCTATCCCATACGATAGGACAGACGAAAGACACGTTCACATTTTTGCTGTACCACCTTCTCCTGACAAGCCAGGGCACGGCTCCTCCTCGATGCCCACACGGAAGGGAGTCTCACAACATCCGTGTGTAATCCACAAACCCTCGCTGCCTCCACAGTGGTGGATTACATGCCATGTGTAGCGTAGGCGCCACCACCGCCTGGCTTGGGGGATTCCATAGCGAATCCAGGTTTGCATCGAGGATCCTGCGTCACTTCGCCGCTTGTAATGCTCGGCAAATAGTCTCGTGGCGTTCTTGACGATGTTAGGACGTCTCTCTAGGTGACCCTTTCGAAGTTCGTTTGGGCGACTCTCCACCCAAAGGAGTTGAAAACGGTCGCTCTGAGCCCGCAGTGCTAATAAAGGCGCAAAGCGATGTAATGTACGCCGCTCGCGGACCGAATCGAGTTGCGCTGCTAAGGGGATGATGATTGGGTGATGGCGCTCGGTCTATTGTGTGAGCGGCCGTGCAGGTTTTGCCGTTTCGGCAGGAGATGCACAGCACGAGCATTGACCATTAAATAAAAAACAAGCCGGAGCTTTAAAACTGCCGCCGCTAGAACTGCTGGCTCTGGACTGCGCACACATACACACGCACCGATCCCCCCAATAGCCTTTACAAGCCTGTCAAGGGCAAGCGGCGTTGCCGAGTAGCACCTATGAAGGCCAATAGGGCACACGACAAGAGAGGGTGGTGGGTGGCCAGCACCACGGCCGGTTGCCTCTGTCTCCCCAGGGTTGATGTTTTACACACCGCAATAGAATTTCGATTTAAAGCTTTCGTGACTGCAAGGATTCATCTTCTTTGGTTCTTTCGGTAAAGTCACGTAGGATGAGAATAAAATAATAAAATGACAATACAATTCTCACGACGTTTCGGCCACAACACAAGTAGCCTTCTTCAGGTGAAGGAACAAAAAACTGTCGGGACGACAGAGCTTCAATGAACACTGCTAAGATTCGTAGCGTCTTTTAAGCTGGTTGAGAGAAGTGAGGCACCTTGACAAAGGGGTTTACATATCAAAACAGGAGAATTTAGCATTGAAATAGCTGAGGGATTAGCTTGTGACTGGTCACAGAAATAGCTATGTTAAAGTCAAAGCCTACACATCCACAGAGGCACCTAGTGCATGGACGCCAAAGGGGGCTGTAACAACTCAACTATCATACAGTAAACCGATGTGAAAAAACCCAAGTCTAAATTACATCAATATAATAAATGTAATCAATATATTCTTCACAGAAATAGCTATGTTAAAGTCAAAGCCTACACATTCACAAAGGCACCTAGTGCATGGACGCCAAAGGGGGCTGTAACAACTCAACTATCATACAGTAAACCGATGTGAAAAAAACCTAAGTTTTACTACGACCTTTCACTGGAAAAACCACCTCTGCGGTACTAAATTCTACTCACCTGGTATCGACAATCAAAGACATTTCCCTGTCCCCAGACGACCTGCTTGTCAGTTTTGATGTGGTGTCCTTGTTCACCAAAGTTCCGGTACCTGACACCATCGCTATCATTGAAGACCTGGGTCATCAAGGACTGCATGCTGATGTACCCCCCCTGGTGAGACATTGCTTAACCAACACATACTTCACCTGGAATGGAACTTTCTACAGACTGAGGGCACCCCAATGGGCTCCCCCCTATCTCCGGTTGTAGCCAACGTATTCATGGAAAAAAAAACAATTTGAAACTGATGCCATCCAGACTGCCACTCTGCGCCTGACCTTATGGAAGAGGTACGTGGATGACACTTTTGTCATCTGGCCACATGGCCAGCCTGCTCTAGACCAATTCCGCGACCACGTCAATTCCATACACCCAGCCATCAAATTTACCATGGAGGTCGAAAAAATGGCAAGCTACCCTTTTTGGATGTCTTAATTAAAAGGAGACCTGATGGTTCAATGGGCCACTCTGTCTACAGGAAAGCTACCCATACAGATGCTTACTTGAAACCGGATTCCCACCACCATCCATCCCAGAATAACTCCCTCATCAAGACTCTATACCATAGAGCCCAATGCATTTCCGACCAGGAACACATTACCAGTGAACTCAAGCACATACACCAGGCTCTCAGGGCTAATGGTTACTCCGACTACACAATCCGCAAAGCCATCACTCCAGTCATGAAGAAGGATCCTCTTGTGGAGCCACTCAAAACCATCACCTTACCCTACATTGCAGGGGTCACTAAAAAGATCTCCAAAATCCTGAATAAACACAAGATCCAGGTCCGATTCAACACAGTACATAAAATCCGTGATCTGGTTCGATCTGTAAAAGATGCTGTTCCAGACATACAGTACCCAGGCGTTTACAAACTAAAGTGCCTCTGTGGTAGTAGCTACATTGGAGAAACCAAACGACATATCTCAGACCGCATCCGCGAACATAAAGCAGACTTGAAACACGGTTGGACGAACTCCCCTGCCGTGGCAGATCACTGTTATAATTCAGTGGGCTCACATGACATTGACTTCTCCAAGACGGAGGTTCTTTGCAAGCCAACCGGCTACTATGAGAGATTCGTTCATGAGGCCATCCACATATACAAGCACAGAGACAATTTCAACCGAGAAGATGGATTCTGGCTTCGTAACCATTGGAAAGATGTTTTAAACCATTTCGGTTTTTAATTAATTGTATTTTACGGTGACCTTCAGACCGCAGCTCTTTCGCTGGCATTGACTCTTAATACTTTTCACACCACGGTTAATGGTATGGCTTATAACATGGAGTATAACAGCGCCTCACAGCTGTCTCTCTCCCCCTCCTCCGTTCCGACCATGGATAGACTCGTCCGTCTGAACAGGGCTCGTAGCTGTCCATGGTGCTGACGCTGAGGGTAAGAATCCACCCATTTTTTCACCATATAGCATTGTGATATATAACGACTTTTTGTTGGTATCTCAGCTGATTGGAGAATATATAGAGTTTATTGATAACATTGAGGTAGTTTATATTTTAGTTTTTAATTTGTTTACTACATGGTAGTCATTATATAGTGTAGTATATACCCAGTTGCTGTTAATAGCTCAGCTTATTTAAGAATATATTGAGTACATTTATTATATTGATGTCATTTAGATTTAGGTTTTTTTTTTCACATCGGTTTACTGTATGATAGTTGAGTTGTTACAGCCCCCTTTGGCGTCCATGCACTAGGTGCCTCTGTGGATGTGTAGGCTTTGACTTTAACATAGCTATTTCTGTGACCAGTCACAAGCTAATCCCTCAGCTATTTCAATGCTAAATTCTCCTGTTTTGATATGTAAACCCCTTTGTCAAGGTGCCTCACTTCTCTCAACCAGCTTAAAAGATGCTACGAATCTTAGCAGCGTTCATTGAAGCTCTGTCGTCCCGACAGTTTTTTGTTCCTTCACCTGAAGAAGGCTACTTGTGTTGTGGCCGAAACGTCGTGAGAATTTTATTGTCTTATTTAATTGTATTATTTTATTCTCATCCTACGTGACTTTACCGAAAGAACCAAAGAAGACACCGCAATAGGTTCTTAATTTGAGGCCGAGCCAACCAAGGGGAGGCCCAGGATTGGTTCAAACATTCGTCAGCAATGTTGGCCACGAGCGAGAACTTAACTCAGGTCGTCAGGTTCGTAGCGCAGTGCACTAACCACTGCACGACCGCTCCCCTAACACATGCAGGGACGCACGCAACATGCATGCACGCAGACCCACACGTACGCATACACGTACACGCACGCAATTCACAACCGCGGCCAGCCCTCGTTAAAAGTTGTTGCACCACTGCACACGTTAGTGCCCGGCTCACAAGCTCCTTCTCCTGGCCGACGACAACAAATTTTTTTCTTTTCCTCGGCGCGCGGGCGGCACAGCGGGGCTCGCCCGACGCTCATTTTAAATTTCCGCAAGAGCGGCGTCAGCGGCTGAGGGAGGCAGCGGTCGGGGGCGGGGGGCGGCGGGGGGTGGTCGGGGCACGCACCCAGGTTGTGCAGCACGCGGTCGCGCTCGAGCTGCGTGTTGCGGATCTTGTTCTGTAGCGTCGAGAGCTTCTCCTCGTACTGCTGCTTGAGCGTGTGCAGCCGGCGCTGGCTGTTCTCCAGCTCGTCGATCAGCTTCTGCTTGATGGCAATCTCGCACGTGATGTCCGCCAGGTCCGCCTGGTAGTTGGCTGGGCGAGACACAAAAACAAAGACGTATATCCCTCGTGTAACATTTAACAGACCGTTGGGGCAAGTGCCGTGGGCGAGCAGCACCTATGGGGTGGGTGGTCAACACCACGCCCGGCCGCCTTTGTCTCCCCAGTGGCGATGTTTACACACAGCACCAGGTACTTATTTGAAACCGAGTTCACCTCGAGGAGGCCAAGGACCGGTTCAGATAATCGTCACTGGTGTTGATGGCCGTGAGCGGGAATCGAACTCAGCTCGCTGGGTTCGAAGCACAGCACGCTAACCGCTGCGCCACCGCTCACCCAACGCCGCTCGCTCACAAAGTATGGGAGTACGCGTCACGAGCGAGCGTAGGTTGAGGCGGGCGGCCTCGAGGCACCGCCTGGCGCTTCCACCTCTGCTTCGCACCAGAGAAGCGCTTCGCGTGGTAGAGGGAACGGCATCGTATTGTGGCACAGCCGGGGCTTACAGTGAGGAAAAAAAGTATTTGATCCCCTGCCATAAACCTAATGGTAGGTTTATTTGAACAGCGAGAGACAGAATAACAACAAAAAAATCCAGAAAAAAGCATGTCAAAAATGTTATAAATTGATTTGCATTTTAATGAGGGAAATAAGTATCTGACCCCCTCTCAATCAGAAAGATTTCTGGCTCCCAGGTGCCTTTTATACAGGTAACGAGCTGAGATTAGGAGCACACTCTTAAAGGGAGTGCTCCTAATCTCAGTTTGTTACCTGTATAAAAGACACCTGTCCACAGAAGCAATAAATCAATCAGATTCCAAACTCTCCACCATGGCCAAGACTAAAGAGCTCTCCAAGGATGTCAGGGACAAGATTGTAGACCTACACAAGGCTGGAATTGGCTACAAAACCATTGCCAAGCAGCTTGGTGAGAAGGTGACAACAGTTGGTGCGATTATTCGCAAATGGATGAAACACAAAAGAACTGTCAATCTCCCTCGGCCTGGGGCTCCATGCAAGATTTCACCTCGTGGAGTTGCAATGATCATGAGAATGGTGAGGAATCAGCCCAGAACTACACGGGAGGATCTTGTCAATGATCTCAAGGCAGCTGGGACCATAGTCATCAAGAAAACAATTGGTAACACACTACGCCGTGAAGGACTGAAATCCTGCAGCGCCCGCAAGGTCCCCCTGCTCAAGAAAGCACATATACATGCCCGTCTGAAGTTTGCCAATGAACATCTGAATGATTCAGAGGACAACTGGGTGAAAGTGTTGTGGTCAGATGAGACCAAAATGGAGCTCTTTGGCATCAACTCAACTCGCCGTGTTTGGAGGTGGAGGAATGCTGCCTATGACCCCAAGAACACCATCCCCACCGTCAAACATGGAGGTGGAAACATTATGCTTTGGGGGTGTTTTTCTGCTAAGGGGACAGGACAACTTCACCGCATCAAAGGGACAATGGACAGGGCCATGTACCGTCAAATCTTGGGTGAGAACCTCCTTCCCTCAGCCAGGGCATTGGAAATGGGTCGTGGATGGGTATCCCAGCATGACAATGACCAAAAACACACGGCCAAGGCAACAAAGTAGTGGCTCAAGAAGAAGCACATTAAGGTCCTGGAGTGGCCTAGCCAGTCTCCAGACCTTAATCCCATAGAAAATATGTGGAGGGAGCTGAAGGTTCGAGTTGCCAAACGTCAGCCTCGAAACCTTAATGACTTGGAGAAGATCTGCAAAGAGGAGTGGGACAAAATCCCTCCTGAGATGTGTGCAAACCTGGTGGCCAACTACAAGAAACGTCTGACCTCTGTGATTGCCAACAAGGGTTTTGCCACCAAGTACTAAGTCATGTTTTGCAGAGGGGTCAAATACTTATTTCCCTCATTAAAATGCAAATCAATTTATAACATTTTTGACATGCGTTTTTCTGGATTTTTTTGTTGTTATTCTGTCTCTCAATGTTAAAATAAACCTACCATTAAAATTATAGACTGATCATTTATTTGTCAGTGGGCAAAGGTACAAAATCAACAGGGGATCAAATACTTTTTTCCCCTCACTGTATCTGCCGAGACGAGCGCCCATCAGCTTCTTCACCAGTCCGACTTGGTGGTTTTTGCAACTGGCGAGGGAGGGAACGTCAGATGCGGGTGAGAAGCCGGGTGAGGGAGAGTCACCTTTCTCTTCCAGCTCTGAGTCAGACTCATCGGAGCTGTCGCTAGAGTCTAGGTCCTCCTCCTCTTCCTCCTCCGCCTCCTCCTTCTCCCCGTTCTCACGGTCGCTCTCCTCCGCTTCCTCCTCCTGCCCGAGCACACGCACGCACGCATGCGAGCCAAGATGCACAAAGACAAAGATCCCATGTATAGCTTCAACAGACGGTAGCTGGTGCTAATAAGGCTGAGTCGCCCTAGGGGAAGCGCTGGACTGGTTCAGATAGAGCAATTCGCAGCGATTTTTCCCAGTTGGATCGCGACGCCGCCGTGTTCATAGCTCAGCTATTAACATATACAGTCACATACACGCAGTCGCACAAAGCTAGTCTCACACACACACACAGTCACATACAGGGCAGCGTCACGCACGCCTGCCCCGCGAGCTGGCATCGCTCCACCTCCCTCCCCCCACCCCCCATCCCGTCCCATGCGGGCGCTGGCCCGAACCCACTTCATCACACGCTTCTCCAGGCCAAGTTCGAGGCTCGGCGAGCCAACTCAATTAACCGGCGCGGGTTTTAATCAGCGCTGTCTTCTCGTGACTCGTCAAGACACCTCGACTCGAGAGCACCGGTGCCGGGCAGGCAAACTGCGAAGGGTGTTGGTGGCAGCGGCGGCAGCTGCGCAGGTGTCACAGAGTGGGGGCGGCGGGGCACTCACCGCCTCGCGGTTGTCGCGAGTCCTCTCGTCGTGCTCGCCTTCCCGTTTCTCCGTTTCGCCCGCATCGCCTCGCTTCTCCAGGCTGCGGGGCAAAACGACGAACGCGCGGTTACGCCGGGGCTTCGACGGAGGGACACGGCAGGCCCGTCGCAGGGGGGCAACGGGGGCAAGGCCACGCACAGGCCGTGCAGGGCGGCCCGCGCAGGCTTGGCCCGGCGGCCCACTGGGGGCCACGCTAGGCGGCCCACGTGGGTTGTGCCCGACGATTGGCACGGTCCCAGTCAAAGCCACTGCATAAAAAAGCATGCAGCCACTACAACACTACAAACGTTAACAAACAAGTATCAATTTGCATCGCGGTTCAATTTCCCAATCGCCGCCCTGGTTAATACTGCGGTTGTATTAACCGTGAAATCCTAAGCGCCATCCCATTCACTCCCGCAATGTCATTGGCGAGAGTAGGCCATTGCGTGCCGGCATCACGGTCCAAATTTGCCCAAGTTGAAATATTACCGCGAAATTACCCAATTGAGAGGCACGGGGCGATCGTTGACCCCCTCTTACTACGAAAGCTTGGCAGGAGCCTCCTGAGAAAGAGCCTTGTGAGACTCGGTGAGGCGTTCCGAGGTAAACGAGCGCAATAATAAAAAGTAGTTTTATTTCTTGAAGATGACTGAATGATGCCACGTTTATAAACGCAGCAGGGATGGGTAACAATGAGGGCTTCACTGACAAGGTCAGCGACTCAGAAACGACTTACCCCATAATGTCTCAAGATGGGCTGTGGGGATACTCCTAATCACCTGCTGCCAAATCCGGTCAGCCGGTGACCAGGAAATTATTCGGTGAGAAATCAAACGCCGAGTTCAATTTCTGAGCGGTAAGGAGGAACGCACTGAGCGGAACTCGGGTCGGATCGCAGCCGGAGGGGTCGGTTCGTTACCCGGCATGCACTGCACGCGATGGTCGCGGGGGCTCCGCTCCACTCCGCGACTACTCCGGGCCACGCCTTCCATCCAAACCGCTACGGCGCCTGACGGGAATCTCAAGCGGCTAAGTGCGCTTTCGCGGGGCAAACAAAAGCGGCGCGGCGTAGCGCCGCAAGGAACCCACTGGGCGGGGCTACGGTCGGGATCCTCACACGCAAACGCATGATGACGCACGCGCAGCTCGGCGCAGGAGAAGCACAAACACAACGGGGGCGGTTGATAGCAAACCTCCGCGCCGACAGACGGCCGTGTCTTCCTTCCTTCTTTAGCCTTGGGCGAGACAAACATAGCAGACGCACGTTGAGAACGCCGCACGTCGCCCCCCGCGGGCTTCGATAAATGGACGCCGTTTCCCCAGAGGCGCCTCCACCGCCGCCACTCACGAGAATTGGAGAGCCCCGACGACGACCGCACTTTACGTACAATCGAGCGGCACTAACTGGCAACATGGGTACCGCCCGAGCCAAATCCCGCAAGTGACCCCAGCAGTGAGGAACAACGGGGGAAAGGTCAAAGCCTCCCCAGCTGCCCTGCAACAGGAATATCGGTGGCCGCCAGCAGGCACTGACCTGATCTTCCTCTGCTTCTTCTCCTTCTTCTTGAGCTTCTCCAGGTCTTTGCGAGCCACCTCTAGGACCTCCTGCATCTCCCGGTCGGGCGTCACTCCGTAGGGCCCCGCCACGGCCCCCGAGGGGGCCCCCAGGGAGGCAGCGGGCGACGCGGCTCCGCCGAACATGGGCGAGCGCGAGGTGGACACGCGGGTCAGCTCCCGGCGCAGCGAGCCATTCATCGCCTCGCTCTCCAGGAGCTTAGCCCTGCGAGTGCGAGGACACGCAACACATCAGCGCGCGACGTTCTACCACAGCGACACACAACACGCCGACACGCAGCCACAGCTACACCACGAGTGACAAATCCAAATGCAACACATGACGCGTCAACACACAACACAACAACACGTGAATACGCACAACACACGCAAAATGCCGACACCACCTAACATCACATACAAGTTTTCCGCACCACACATCGACCAATAACACCACACCCCACTCCGTGCACACAACCACAGACCACCATACACAGAGACCTACCACCACACGCCACATGCCACCACAGGCCACTACACAGCATTGTCAATACACCACACCACCATCACCACATCCGTGACTTTTGCCATCACAAGGTGGCGACAGTGACAGGCACAGTTGACGGCCCCCAAAAGCCCGAGCCTCGTGGTTTCACCACCGCAAACTCTGATTCTCCGTTTCAACCAAGGCATTCGCATGAACACCTTGGGCTCCGCGCGCTCCTGCACACGGGAATCGAGTGGCTCGCATTTGTAGTCCGAGCGCGCGTTTTAACCGGGAGCTCGCTTCATCGTTAGCTTCCTCGCTCGCCCGCTTGCCGCTCGACGCTCTGAAGCCAACGTGCTGCGGGGACCTGCTTTGTTGTGGGAGAGTGCGTGCTGCGAGCAGAGCCGCTCAGGCAGTGAGGGTTTAGGGGTGGCCGACCTGAGGTCCTCTATCTCCTTGATGTAGCTCTGGATCATGGACCCAATTTCCTCGCTGCCGTCACCTACGCACCGGGAGAGAAAACAAAACAGGGCACGCAGGAGCACGGCTATCAGAGAGGCGGAAGCCTTTCAACAATTCCTCCCAATTAGAATAAACCCCAACACCCCCCCTCCCCCGCCAACAACCGTAACACCCCCCCCCCCACCCGCCCTGCACCCCATTCCCCCCCATTCACCCCTGAAACGCCAGCTGAACGGGCACTGACAGCGCTGAATATAAATTAGGATACAAAAAAAAACGCGTGCTGGTCTAGAAGGGCCATTGCCTGAAACGTCACCTTTTGTATGTTTTTTTTTCTCTTTAAAGGCTACACACACGCAGCGTTGTTATTGAATGCTGAGTTGTTTAGTGGTTGTTGTTGGTTGTAGTTGTGCACCACTGCCAACTCAGCAGCAGCACCACCACACACTGTGCACAATGTGACCGGTACCGGCCATGCCTTCAAATTACTCAATTGGGATCACGCACACAGCAACGTTGCCCCCCTACTAGCAAACACTTGGCAGGTCCCGTCTGAAATGAGTCTTGAGACTCGGTGAGGCATGGGGGTGAGGCACAGGGGGGGGGCGACGATTGCTGCGTTTCCCAGCTAAGCAATTTAGGATTTTTTTTCAAATATGAACTGCATCGCTAGCACAATTGCCTACTCTTCTGCGAGTGATGTCACGGATCTTTAACGTCCACTGTGAAGCAGACGGAGCGTGAGGTTATGGCCCTGAACGTCAAATGGCCAGCAACAATGAGCTCTGTTATCAAAGTTGTAATGGATAAGGGATGGCGCGTTTATTGAATTGAGCCAGATTGTTGTTATAAGAGCCTGGAAACAGAGACGATGATGAGTGACAGAATAGCCGCCATCACCACTCGGGGATGATGATGTTGATGTTAATGATGATGCCTACAAATCTGACAAAATCATCAGCAGCACAAACCCACACCTGCGGCCACGTGGAGCAACACCGCTCCCAGTCACTCCACCACGGGAGGGTGCAACATGGGTGCGTGCGTGCGTGCACGTGCTCGTGTGCGCCGGTGCTGCCTTGCCTGCACCGGCCAGCGCGTGGCTGGCGTGCTGCGTGAGCACGTGGGCAATGCGCGCGTTGAGGGCGTCGATCGTCTCCTGCATGGCCTTGATGCGCATGCGCAGGTTCCCGTTCTCCGCCTGCAGCATGGCGTTCTCCTGCACCATGTCGTTGAGGCTCTCCACGCCGTCCTCCCCGACCAGGCGCTTGCCCTGGAGAGGTGGGGGGGGGGGGAGTGAGAGAGTGTGAGTGATAGAGAGAGGGAGGGAGAGAAAGAGAGACAAAGTGAGAAAAAGGGAAAGACAGGAAGAGGGAGAGAGAGAGTGAAAAGGACCGCGTCCAACGGCTCTTCGCACCGGGTGATGCTCACCGTACCACCCGCACGCTCCTGTGCTGCCCATCTTCACCAACCCGCAACAAGCAACGTGGTGAAGTATGGTCAAATAACCTCCACCACGGCCCGTACGGCATTGGGTCGAGGCCCCTAATCTAGCAGCGGGTTGCCTGAACCGGCGGATGCAGTCGCGCTGTCAGGCCCCTGGCGATGGCTCGTGTTGGTGTTGACGGAGACTAAAATCGTTTGTGATCGCGTGTTTCTTCTCCAGTGAGGAGCGCGTTTCCCGTCACAGTTGAGAGACGCCCCGTGGGAAGATCGGGGGGGGGGGGGGGGTGGGGAGGGGAGCTGTGTTTCTGCATTGGGGACTTGGGGACGGTTCACAGTCTGTCCACCTCATTGCCGTCATCATCACCAGCCAGGATCGATGCACTGCTGAAGTATTTTGCTGGGTTCAGGTTGGTGGGTGCAGGGTGCTGGGTGCAGGGTGTTGAGTGCAGGATGCTGGGTTCACGTTGGTGGGTGCAGGGTGCAGGGTGCAGGGTACCACGACGTGCCCTCTGACGTGCCCTCCCATTCACTCACAGTGGGCATTAGAGGTCCCGTGACGTCATTGGAAACAAGCCACCGTGTGCCGGCGTCACGTTCCACATTCGCCGATTAAAAAAATGACACCGCAAGTGACTTGTAAGGTGCGAAATAAGTTGAACATACATTCATACATACATTTGGGATTAGACAGCAGATATCATCACCCCATACCGCAAACACGTGGCAGGATCCTCTTGTAAAAGAGTCATGAGACTAAAGTGAGGCTTTACTGGGTAAATAAGCATCATTTTAATCATGATCATCATGACCACCGTCGTCACGACTCTGATTGCCGATGAGGCACCTCCACCCACCGTTTTGTACTCCATGAGCTCCATCTGGATTCGTGCAATTTCGGCGCGCAGCGCACCGATCTGCTGGCTCGTCTTGTCCTGGTTCACCATCACGCGGTTCTTGATGTTGCGCGCGCGGTTCGCGTACTTCAGGGTGTTCAGCGTCTCCATGAAGTCCCGGTCGGATGGGCTCACGCACGCGATCATAAGCGTTCGGCTGCACACAACAGCAACAACAGCCACCATTAAGTTAGGTGTGGAAGACTCTTTCAGCTGACATGTCACGGGACAGACCCAGGTGTTGTGTATTGACTGAGATGACTGACGGATGCACTACCCATGCTGCCCGCTGTGCCAAATTGCCGGGTTTTAAATGCCCGGCGCTCCACTCATTGTTGTGAGCGTCCCTTCTCTGCCCTAACACCGCTGGTACCAGTCGTCAACAAGTCCACTCAGCTCCAGATCCTCCTGGACCGCATCAGCCCACCTCTTCTCTATCCCATACCGCACCTGCTTAGCCCCCTCTATTCAACCTAAGGCTGCTTGAGAATTAAGTGGCTGGGCATGCAGCTGACATAACAGTGTGTGTGTGGCTACACAAAGACACTCTGTATAGCCTTTAACAGTCTGTTGGGGCAAGTGCTATTAGCGAGCACCTATGAAGGCCGGTACGACACACGAGAGGGTGGGTGGCCAGCACCACGCCCAGCCGCCAGGTACTGATTTGAGGCTGAGTCAATCGAGGAGTGGTGGCCGTTACCTGTTTCCCCCGAGAGAGTCCTGTAGCAGCCGCGTAAGCTTCGAGTCGCGGTATGGAACGTGCGTCGCCTTCTTGCTTTGGTCGCCCAGCGCGCTGATCACGTTTCCCAGCGCCAGCTACACACGCGTGCAGGCAAGCGGCGGTCAGCACCGGGGCATCGGCATGGCCATGCGCCGGCGGACCAGCGATCCTCACACCGACCGTGCCCTGGACACCCTATTGAGGTCTTAGTCTACCAAACACTGCCAATTGTGTTATTTCATGCACACCGTGTTCATCCAACACCACAGTGCAGGTCACGAGCACACTCACTCACCCACTCACTCACCCATTCACTCACTCACTCACCCACTCACTCACCCACTCATTCACTCACTTACTCACCCAATCACTCACCCACTCATTCACTCACCTACTCAATCACTCATCCACGCATGAACTCACTCACTCACTCACCCACTCACTCAATTACCCACTCTTTCACTAACAACAGGTCCCTGCAGGGTGGGCTGGTAGGAACATTGGAATTTTGCGCAATTTTATTTTTACACCCCAACAGCACGAGATTTCACTTCGTCAAAGTATTGAAAGGGGACGGACGGACGGACACATTAATCTATTGCAGGCTGGTACACTCAGTTTACAACTTCGTTCCTACCAGTATAATCAATCACTCACCCACTCACTCACAACACTGCAGGTCACAACAATTCCTTTCTGCTTCTTCTCTCGCACTGCTCCACTGTGGAATTCCCTCTTGCATTGTCTCTTTTCCCAAGCTTTTACAACAACAACTTGGCTCAATTCCAGAAACTCTTAACCATTACAACTTTTATAACAGTACTATTACTATTTTTTTTTACAAAGTAATACCCACTGAGCTATATGCAGAACTGACCTGGCCACAAATGATCGCTCAAAGAAGTGGCTTATCACGTGGAAATGTATAGCAGCCAAATACTCTAAACGGATGTTTATGAATGTGGAGGGAAATACCGGAGGAGCCTGAGAAAAATCCACGTGACTACAGGGAGAACATGCAAACTCCAAATATACAGGTGTCAGGGGATCGAACGCACACCCTCCTGTATACCAAGCGAGGTAGTTAACATCTTGCCACAGTGTTGCTGGCCACTTGATGTTTAGGGCCCTTGGGCCTCTGGTCAGTAACCGTGTTCGTCTCTCCGCTTGACCAGTGGATGTTAAAGATCCCATGGCATTGTTCGAAAGGAATCGGCCAGTGTGTGCCGACGTCACGGTCCACATTTGCCATATTCGAAAAATTACACCGCGAATCACTCAACTGAGATCACACAGGAACCACCTCCCCCCTCTCTATTGCGCAACTACCGCAGCCTGCGTCTGTGAACCACCGCAGCAGCGCCTTCCTGTGTGACAATCGCCCTGCGCTGTGAGAACGGAGCGAATGCCAGACGCAGTGCTGACGAGCTCCAGTTGGAGATGAGGCTGAAAAAACAAATGGACCGCGCCCATCGCGTCGGCCTGCACGCAACACGGAGACGGCAACAAGCCGACGGGGACGCGGCCGAGACGGCGCCGCGGGAGCCCTACGCACCAGGCCGCAGTTGATGGAGATGCCCTCTTTGGCGCGGTCCCCCGTCGCGCCCGTGCGCTTGAGGCGCTCGGAGCCCGCCAGGTCCACAAAGTGGAACTTTGCGGTGAGCACCTCGAGCTCATTCATGGGGGCAGAGGAGGAGGCCTCCACGCTGTTGCTGTCCTCCTCCGCGTCCTGCGAAAACACACCGCAGGCGTGAGTGTGCATGTGCGGTCCCGTCAACTATCACCACCCACCCACCCACCCACACCACGGCCGTGGTCTTTTTTCCACGGCTGGCACCGTAGCCATGGCATAGCTTCCCATGTCTGGCAACGTAGCCGTGCCGTCGTTTGCCATGGCTGGATTGTAGATGTGCTCAAGCCGACTGCCCACTTCAGTTACAACACAACTGCACCTCGAGGCACTGTTGTGCGGAGGCAGCGACGGGCGTGGGAATGGCTCCAGCGGGTGAACAACCACGCGTGCCGTCTTCGCGCTCTCTGTGCAAGCCGGCCCTTATAAGAGATCGGTGCCGACGGTGAGTGACAGCAGAATCAGAATATTTATACTAGAGCGACGAGCATCGCTTTGACACTCTGGGTCCGGTTGATGCTGATCACAGGGGTCACCGTGAGGTCGCGCTACAACAACCCATTCCTGTCGATTCTCGTGGGGTTTTTTTTGCTCTTTCATGCCGATGTGAAATGGGCACAGGTCACTGGCCGACTGCTGGTTAGCCTTCACGCCTGCTTTTGCATCAAACAGATTATATCACCTGATGCTGCTGCTGCGTTGGCAGTGGTGCACAAGCACAGTTAACACCTCAACACTTCCCATGTAAAATACGCTGCATCCTTGAAGGAACAAGTATATAATGACAAGCGACGTTTGAGGCAATGACCCTTCTTCACACAGCACAAACAGGCCAGAGAGGTAGCGTGGCCTATATATTCTGAAGAAGTTCGCAGAGTGACATTATATACACGTTTTATTTTTAAGGACACAGGGTGTTGTGAGTCTCACAGTGAAGCACGGATTGTGTACTTTGTGTGTCTGCAGTTTTTTGTTGTGATTTGTGGACGGTTTAGTGGCGTCACAGGGATTCGCACGCCACTGAACGAGTCGCGCAGCGACGAGCAGAAACACATCATCTCCCATCGCCGCAGAGCGGCGAGCATTCAAGCGCTTCGACCGCGTCTCTGCGTTGGAACGCAAACCTCGGTGATCGCGCTGGCGGAGATGAATAGCGGTGACGCGCTGCCACTACTGACGGGAAGCGACGGAGCGGTGCGTTTCTTTTATAGCTGTAACGGACGCACTGCTCTGGCCGTTAAAGCTGTCAGCGGGAACCGCGATGAGTGGGCCCCGTTCCCACCTGGCCAATCATGGAACGCGGCTCACGGAGGCCGGACCGGCCCGGCTTCGACATGCTGTCGACGTGCCCTCAACCATTCTGCACCGGAAAAAGGCCGCATTCCGGTCAAACTGCCGGGGGCAGCGGCAATCGGCCAGTATTTCCCCTCGACAACAACACATGGCGCCCGCCCATGTGCCGCCCTTTCAAACCCTCAAATGTTGCCGTGAGTTGCAAGCGATTGCCGGGGTCCCGCGTGAGCGAGCGCGCGGCGTCGTGGGCGGTGGACGGTGGGCGGTGGGCGTGTGAACGTTTGCCCCTGGGCTTGCCGGGCGGTTCGACATGGTTCCCCGAGTCCAGCGAAACTAATACCGCCTAATCCTAAAAGTCACCTCTTCCCCTGCTGCGCACGCATGGACGTGAGCATTACAAACAGATGCGCAGTGCATACAGAAGCCAGGCATGTGAATGAAACAGGGGCGGAGGTGCCGGGATGGAGGGGCGGCGTTGCCAGGGTGGTTTACCTGTGGTTTGGAGCGGCACACACGCTGTTGGCAGATGTGCACGGTGAAGATGGCGTGCGAGCGGGAGCTCTGCACATTCATCTGCGTGCTGGCGGTTGTGCGCGACAGGGCGCCTAACTTCAGGCACTGGATCATCTGTGTGTGCACACGCGCAGACACGACAACAAACAACAACAAAGATCCCCCGAATAGTCTTAACAGACTGTTGGGGCAAGTGCTGTTTGTGAGCACCTATAAAGGCCGGCGCGGCACACGAGGGGGTGGGTGGCCAACACCACACCCGGCCGCCTTTGTCTCCCTAGTGGCGATGTTTACACATCGCACCGTGTACTCATTTGAGGCTGAGTCGACCTAGGGGAGGCCCAGGACCAGTTCAGATAATCGTCACCGGTGTTGGCCGTGAGCGGGAATCAAACCCGGGTCGCCAGGTTTGTATCGCAGCGCGCTAACCGCTACACGACCGCTCCCCACAAACACACATACACGTGCATTGTCCTCGTAAGCATGGTCTACAGCCACCGCGACCTGCCACCTTAATCCCAGGGACTAACAGTGCTGTCGTGAGCGCCCAAATTAAATATTAAACGCGTCACTCTCCCAATCTCTCACGCATGGCGGCGGTGGCGGTGGGGGCTCTCTGGCCGGGTAACCAGAGTGCCACTCAACGAGGCCGTGATAAAGAACTGCCAAGGTCTCCCCATCGCATCCACTCAAGAAAAACATCGACCACCAAGCAAACCCGCCTTGTCCCTCCCTCGCCGTACGGCGATCACAGCAATCAACAATATTTACGCTGCGCCTATTAAGCCGCGATTGTAAATCACAGGCAGCTGTGCGTTCCGCGTTCCGGTTGCGCCACATTCCGCGAGACCGCAGGATTAAGTTGGAGGCATCAAATAGCAGAAGTCACGACGAGACGGGGGGCCAGGGATGAGCAGGAGACGCCGCGACCGGTAATCTCTCAGCCGCCGCTCCTCCCACGCGTTCGGTGGGAGAACACCCTCTTGACAAACACATCTCCCCTTATCTCGTCTCCTGGCAGGATGAGAACATTCTGCACCGCGTAGCCTTCTTCTTACGAGCCGTGTCATTATCTGAGCTGTGTAATTATATTCGGAAAAACACATCTCGCGAACGGAGTAAATCAGCTCAAGCATGCTCTGCCACTGCCCCCCCTCCCCACTGCCTCCCCTCCCCCAGAGCGTTTGTTTTGACTGACAAATGAAACGTGACAACGCCGGAACTTTTAACAAATGTCTCGCTCTCCCACTCCGTGAGCAAGTGGCCGCGATGCATGGGCCATGCCGAACCGAGCCGCAACTTCACGCGTTGCCCCCACCCCCCCCACCCCCAGGCACGAATGGGAACGGCGTGACCAGACAGGGCCCGTGCGCCACGTACGACCGCAAGCGGGGCCATCGCACGGGAGGCCACCCCGAGGCCCTCTCCGCCCCCCCGCCCCCCCTTTCCTGAGCGCCCCGAATGCGCCGAGGTCAAAGGGCACAACCGACCTCTTCCTCCGTGGCGACGGCACGCGTGGTCACGCCGACCGTGTAGATGCTGCCGGCCGCGTCCTCGTGGATCTTGATGTTGGACTTGCGGTTGCGGGATTCGACGTCTCGCGTCCCGTCAAACAGGTCCAGCACCTCCTCGTTGTACAGCTGCGGACACGCGAGATCCATTACAACAACCACGTCATTCCAACAGGCGCTCTTCGTGGCGCCAATCTTATGTCCTCGGTCGGTTTGTGTGTTGTTATTTCATAATAAATTACTTATGAGAGTCACGCGAGTGTGCAGGGCCCTGCTGCTGATGTTTGGCTGATCCCGGGTTGTAGTGTGCATGTGTTTAGCCAGGGGCAGAGCCGGGGGGGGTGACAGGGGTGACATTCTGCGTATAAGTGTACGACAATCGGTCTGGCGGACTCCGTGCAACTGCATTGTCAGAGCGTGTCGCCAACCGATGGCGTCTAGTTCAACAGCCTGACTCTATAATCATTCTTGAAATTAAAATTTGTTGAATGTCACCCCGGCCTGAAATCCTGGCTCCGCCCCTGCATTTAGCTATGGGAAAAAAACTGGAGAACCCGGAGGAAATCCATGCAAAACAGGGGGAAATCAAACAACCTCCACTCACACACATCCCGCAGCATAGGGGGAGAATATACAAACGCCAAAGACAAAGTTCCCCCGTAAAGCCTCAACACACTGTTGGAGCAAGTATTGTGAGCGAGCGGCTATGAAGGCCGGCACGGCACACGAGGGAGTAGGTGGCCAGCACTATACCCAGCCACCTTTGTTTCCCTAATGGTGAAGTTTACACATCGTACTAAGTACTCATTTAGGGCTCAGTAGACCTAGCAGAGGTCCAGCACCGGTACAAATAATCGTTACTGGTGAGTGGGAATCGAACTTGGGTCATCTGGTTTGTAGCGCAGCGCATGAACCGCTCGCTCCCCACGCACTCAATCGCACTTGGCAGATAAGTGGGAAAACACCCAACTCCACACACAAGAAGGCGCTCGAGACGAGAATCAAACCGAGGAGCTCGGCACTGCGAGGCACCGCCCGGGGTGGTCACCTCGAGGAACTGGGCGCTGATCTTGAAGTCGGGCGGTGGAAGGTTATTTTGCAGGGCCTCCTGGCGGCGCTGCTCGATGCCGGCGTAGAGGTGGGCTACGGCGCGGGGGATGATGCCGTGCTCCTCCTCCTGCACTGCCACGTCGAACCCCGTGCCCATCGTGTACGTCTTGCCCGAGCCCGTCTGCACCACACACAGCACAAGCCCAGTTTCGCTCACCAAAAAACATCACATCTCCCTCAGTGCATCTCCTCGCCGCGTCTCCCTCACTGCGTCTCTCTCACCGCATTACCCTAAACATCTCCCTCACCATGCATCTCCCTTATCACGCGTCTCCCTCACCAAGTATCTCTCCCTCGCGAGCGAGCAATGGCACGAGGGGCCGGGCGGCCCCCGCTCTCTCACGACGTCGCCCGGCCCCCGCCGGCTCATCCTCCGCTCCCACCCTCCCGCTAATCCCCCCAGGGTGGGCGGCGAGCAGACAGGCGAGGGCCCGCTCCACGGTAGCAGCGGTGACCTCCCACCCGTGAAGGCGGCGGGCCCACCTCCCACCCTCCCCGGGCGGATGCCTCGCGCCGTGACAGGACAGGAGCATCGTAGCTTTTAGGGCGAGAAGAATTTTGAACGCCGTGGGCGCGCTCGCTCGCTCTCTCTCTCCCGCACCCGAGCCATTACGCTCGTGGGGATTTGTAGGATTTTCGTTCTCAAGTCCTCGCAAGTGTTGTGACGCAGAAGGGCGAGGACACGGCTCACAGTGGCGGCGCGGCGATGGCAGCAGAGCATCGGCGGCCAGGGTGCGGCTCGCACCTCCCAAGAGGTCACGGCGTTGACAAGTTTGTGCTAATTTTTTTGTTGTTTACGTAACGGGGGGAAGCCGAAGTTAGTCTGGAGGAGAACCCCACTGTGAATGCGTGCAAAGGCCGCACGGATGTCTGCGTGAGCCCACTTGGTATGCTGCCACCATGCAGCCGTAGCTGCTGCTGGGTTTACGCTACGGGGGTGTATCTATCGACGGCACTGAAGGCCAGTTCACTGTTCACAACGAGTATCACTGCTGCTGCTGTTTATGTTCAACCGGAAAACAGCCGGCTCGACGGTATAGTGAGTGGCTCGGATGATGAAGTTTGTGAGTTCACATCCCACGAAGCAGTACTGATCTTATCGACCCCTGGACGGAGGGATGATGGGCCAAGTCGAGCACCGCAACCAGGATTTGAACTTGCGACCGCGCAAATGTGAGCAGCTCGCTCCGCCGCTGTGAACCACCTCGCCGGGAAGTGCTGGCTGTAGCGGTAACACGCGTACCCGTGAGGTGACGTCCTCATGGCTCACGCACGCCAATAACCATCATTATTTCGTATCGTCACGATCATTTCCTTATAACAGGGTCGCAGAGGGGAGGGAAACGGACGCCCGTCTGCACAATGCATTTATCGGAACAGGAAGAGAGCTCCCGGAACAGGGATGAGGCGAGGGCCACTCTTCCGATTAATAACGCGAGCAGCAGCAGCAGGCAGCACACAGCGAGAGAGCGAGCGAGTGACTGTGCCGGGCGGGTTCAATCGAGATAATGGGCACGGCAGGGAGCGGTTATCAATGGCTCCATCGACCACGCGGCCAGCGCCTGGCAGCAGCGGGCACGCTCCCCAGCATGGTGCAGAGGCCGCCTTCGTCCCCACCGCCTCCAACACCCCCACCCCACCCACCGCTTCCACCGCCCCCCACCCCCGCCGAGCCCACAGTCCCCGCCGTCCTCACCACCCCCACCGCACCAGCATCCCTCACCGTCCCCACCATCCCCACCGCTCCCACCGCCTCCACCGCCCCGACCATCCCCATTGCCCCCACCGCCGTACGACTCTAAACCCTGGGGAAAAAATCCATAGCGCTTATCTCACAGATACGGTCCACCTCGCCTAACAGCGAGTTTGACGCTTGAGAAACAAAATATTAGTTGAAGAGTAGCGCCAGGGAGCACCACCGTTACGGCACTTCGACCGTGTCACCCGGCATGTTCGTAGCAAAATAAAAAAAATGGTGATGCTGCTGTTGCTGCTGCGACACTAATGACACGAAACTCACGCCGCCGTGGCGCTGCGGGGAACACGCGTCCATGACAGGTGACGTGTCGGGCAAGCGACCCCTTCCTCACAGCAGAGGGGAGGAGGGGCCGGTCGGAGACTGCACCATGCACCACGGCGCCCTGGCAGGAAGTTTCATTTTAAGAATTATTCCAGAGGACGCGTCCAAGCGAGGCCATTCCGTGTAATGTGAGTCTGCCCAACTGCAGCCCATTCGGAATCACGTGGCATCGCACGCGATCGCACACCACCGAATGCTATCGCAAGCTGAGCAATGCCTCCACTTGCCTAATCTCGTAGCTCAGAAATTACGTTTACATCGCTGCCTGCTTTGCTCACGAGCACAATTCACAATGAGGTTACACGAATGTTCCGAGTTCGTCCAGATTCGTTCCATTTTAATACCACTTCAGGTGTCCCGGGTGGCCTTGCACAGGGCCGACGATGTCTCGCGCATCTCGATCAGTTCGTTTGGGGCGTTGGCTGTGCACGTGGCCTGTAGTCCAGCACTATGGAGGTGGCAAGGTTTGGTGGATCACTGCACCGTAGGTGGGCCACGAGGAGGTGCTATAACACGGCTCTCCAGGAGAAAGCGCTAGAGCAGAGTGCGGACTAACATCGTCCGTCCCTTCTGTATGGGATAAGAGCGTTAAACCGTCTCGCAGGCGTGGGTTTTCTCCGGGTACTCTGGCTTCCTCCCACACATATAAACAAATTATTAATTGACTGACGTCTGGGTATATAGAGAGGAGCACAGAGCTTGGGCAATTATTGGTGGTGCTGGCTCCTCACCGCCTGGCTGCTGCTGCTGCCTTCCCGCTCGTCTGTGGTTCCTCGGCGATTTTGAGAAATGCAATCGGCATGAACGTCACTGCCGCTGTGTATAATACTACACGTGACTATCACGATCATTATTCATTCAAGACGAAGGCTTAAATGAGGGGGAGCACATACAAACTCACTTGCATACATTCACTGACACTGCAGAACAGGGGGAGAACATACAAAAACTCACTCACTCACACTCTGCAGAACAGGGGGAGAACAAACAAACTCACTCACCCACGCTCTGGAGAACAGGAGAAAAGCACATACAAACTCCACACGGAAATGGGTGCCCAAGTCGGCAATCGAACCCGGGTGGCTCTAGCTGCGAGGGCACAAGCTTTACCCACTCCACCACTGGCCAGGAAAACGAAACGGAGCCTCTATCCGTGGGGCACGGCGTGAGTGGCGGCTGACCTGGCCATAGGCGAACACGGTGGCGTTGTAGCCCTCTAAGCAGCCCTCGATGAGCTGCTGCACGCAGCACGCGTACATCTCCTGCTGCGTCGAGCTCATGTCCAGGACGTAGTCGAACGTGAAGGCCTTGTCCTTGCCCAGCACCACCTGGGGCTCGCCGGGGGTCAAGTACGTGCAGATGTGGCATCCCTCGATCTTCTCCTTGGCCAGCTGGGGACGAATCCTGCCACCGGGAGTGCGCATACAGGAAGACAACGGCGTCACCGCGCGTCGGGGACATGGGGGAATGTGCAGTGACGCGCCCACCGAGAGACAGAGAGGTCGCGCCACCTGTCTAAGCCAAGAAGGTGGCGACGTCACCGTGGCCTGAGCCACCGATGCCATCGCCGCACCTACTCACCCTCCTCGCCCTCATCGCCTCCTGCCCCTGCGCCTGCGCCAGATACCGCAGCTGCTGCACCGGAGAGATGCGGCGACCTCCCGAGGTCTGGCCGGGCGGTCTCCCACAAACTCGCCAACCACTTTACCCGCTCACAAATAAGACCCAGTCACTCACAAACAAAATCACCCACCCACTCTTATCACTCGCTTATTCACTCACTAAGGCACACACTCACTCATGAAACCAAACACTCGCTCACCTACTCACCCAATCACTCCATCACTCACTACCTAAACACCCTCTCACTGACCCATCTACCCACCCACAAACTCACCCAACTCACCCATGATCCGAAACACTCACCCCGTTTGGTCACCCACTCATTTGTCCACTCACCAACTCACTCACACGGCCGCCACACAATTGCCTGATCTTCTCTGAAAGAGATCACAGGGATCTTTAACGTCCACTGTGAGCCAAGCGAATGGCCACGACGCCCGGGGGTTGAAGGCACAAACACTTCCACCACGCGTCGAGGTGTGTTCGGTTCAACCCGAGGACGCGCCACGCCTCCTGAGTGACCGCTACACTTTCTGAGCCCCACTGTCCCAACTGTGGACGCTATAACGATGATGATGTCAACTTGTAATGCGCCACCACTGCCGCACAGCGCTCACTCGCAATCATTGAGAAAGAACGGCTCAGACGAACAGAAAGGCAGCCACGCGAGAGCTGGCGCCCACAATGGTCCAAACTCTGCAATTCTCGATAATTTAAGGTATTATCGGATCAATTAGTCAGTGTTTATATGTGTGGGAAGAAACTGGAGTAATCAGAGAAAACCCATGCATGCGAAGGGGCAACACTCTATCCTATACAGACGGATAGGTGGAGTCCATATTTTTGCTCTACCGCATTATCCTACTCTTTGGGTCTTTCGGTAAAGTCACGTAGATAGAAAAACAATTTTAAAAAATCACGACGTTTCGATCGCAACACAAGCATTATCCTGACGAACCAGGGAATGGCAGGCAACTTGATGCCCATGGGAAGTTTCACAACATCTGTGCGACGCACCAACCCTCGCTGCTGCCTCCCCAGTACTGAATTACAGGCTACGCCACGTGCAGCGGAGCCACCACCGCAGTTCCCAGCAGTGGCCACGGCACCAACTATCAACAACTCCCGGTTCAATTTCGCGAGCAGATAAGAGGCAACGTGGCGAAGGGGCCTGGGGGGACAGGGCCTCGCATTCGCACAAACCTAAACATCGCTCTATATACACGCCAAGGGTGAAGCTGGTCGCCTGGCCCGCGCGGCCTAAGTGAGCGCCCGCGCGGCCCAATGGCAGGACGCACACGAGGTGTCTCGGGCAGCCGCCGGTTTGTTTAAAGAGGCCCTTCTCGAAAACGCACGAGGTCTGCGTGCGTCATCTCTCCAACGCGCAGTCTCGCCGCCGACCGCCTGCTACGCCCCACGACACAGAGGCCCCTAATCCTCTTTCCTCCTCCTATTAACGCAAACCATCTGCTTACACCTTGCCTACAGGATTAGTTTTTCCCATTAAATCCACTGACCCAGTAACAAACCCTGGGTTAAATGCACAATCTACTCCACGCATTCGCAGAGGACCCCAATTATGTGCAGTGGCGCGGCGATGACGCTCACGCCTCAGGTCGCCCTTGCAAAACGGGCGACTCTTCCAAGCATCTCCCCATGGGTTAATTCCATCTCCTGGTAAAATTGCGGCGATTCCGACAAGTCCACCTTCCCCCGCCCCGGGAGGCCAGAGGTGTGTTTTACAGGCACAGAGGCGGACGTTAGCTCCGAGTTAGGATGCCAAGAGCCTCGCAAGGGCGGGGTGACATCACGCACCCTCTCAGCCAATGAGCGCACGTGTCGCGATCTTGAATCGAGTTTACAGGAAGGTACGGCATCGCCTCTTCTGATTGGCCGAACTTTGGCAGCTCCTTCACCATTAGCGTCTGTTGCTACGACGATGTGCCCTGGGCTGCTAACAGGCAGTTCAATAGAAAAGCAATCTGGAGCACTCTGATAACATAATTGGACAATGCACCCCATGGGTCAGAGGCGGACACTGCTTCCCTTCAGAGGTGGCTAAACTCAGCAGTAACGATTTACAGTGGGCAATGCATAAGAACAAGTCCATGGCTCATGCTCCCGCCCGGTCACAGACCATCCCGCAAATGTCCTCCGAGCAGTGCATCGAGCCGACCGAGAGACAAAACACTCCCGAGACACAAAGAGATGCGGATTAGTGGGACCACGGATAGCTTAGCATAGGATCACGGCGAGAGGACAGTAACCAAGAGATGAGTGAAATAAGAGCAACATGAACAGGTCAGAGACCTGGAGACGGAGAGGCCCAGATTAGTGACCACGTGTACATATTACAAGGTCATGCTGCTATGCTATCAGTACACTTGTTTACCCAGGAAAGCCTCAAGACTCGTTTTGCAGGCGGGTTCTGCCAAGTTTTCGGAAAAAAAACACAACTCTTATAACCCAGGTTATCAGGAGTGGTTCCCAAATGACGAATGTGCAGGGTTATATTTGGCAAATTTGGACCGCGGAACCGCCGGCACACAATGGCCTACTCTTCTTCGGATGATGTCACGGGACCTCTTAACTCCCACTGTGAGTGAAGTGGAGGGCGCATCTTGGTATTTTACAGTTCATACGCACGCAGCAGTATTGACCATGGCGGCCTGCCGGGCTCGAACCGCCAACCTCTGCAACGAGCGGTGATGACGCTCCGCAACATCAGCACACGTCACATGACGTCACACTGGGATTGAAAGCACACACCGAATGTAAGTACACTTACAGTGAGGGAAAAAAGTATTTGATCCCCTGCTGATTTTGTACGTTTGCCCACTGACAAAGAAATGATCAGTCTATAATTTTAATGGTAGGTTTATTTGAACAGTGAGAGACAGAATACCAACAAAAATCCAGAAAAACGCATGTCAAAAATGTTATAAATTGGTTTGCATTTTAATGAGGGAAATAAGTATTATACCCCTCTGCAAAACATGACTTAGTACTTGGTGGCAAACCCTTGTTGGCAATCACAGAGGTCAGACGTTTCTTGTAGTTGGCCACCAGGTTTGCACACATCTCAGGAAGGATTTTGTCCCACTCCTCTTTGCAGATCTTCTCCAAGTCATTAAGGTTTCGAGGCTGACGTTTGGCAACTCGAACCTTCAGCTCCCTCCACATATTTTCTATGGGATTAAGGTCTGGAGACTGTCTAGGCCACTCCAGGACCTTAATGTGCTTCTTCTTGAGCCACTCCTTTGTTGCCTTGACCGTGTGTTTTGGGTCATTGTCATGCTGGAATACCCATCCACGACCCATTTTCAATGCCCTGGCTGAGGGAAGGAGGTTCTCACCCAAGATTTAACAGTACATGGCCCCGTCCATCGTCCCTTTGATGCGGTGAAGTTGCCCTGTCCCCTTAGCAGAAAAACACCCCCAAAGAATAATGTTTCCACCTCCATGTTTGACGATGGGGATGGTGTTCTTGGGGTCATAGGCAGCATTCCTCCTCCTCCAAACACGGCGAGTTGAGTTGATGCCAAAGAGCTCCATTTTGGTCTCATCTGACCACAACACTTTCACCCAGTTGTCCTCTGAATCATTCAGATGTTCATTGGCAAACTTCAGACGGGCATGTATATGTGCTTTCTTGAGCAGGGGGACCTTGCGGGCGCTGCAGGATTTCAGTCCTTCATGGCGTAATGTGTTACCAATTGTTTTCTTGGTGACTATGGTCCCAGCTGCCTTGAGATCATTGACAAGCTCCTCCCGTGTAGTTCTGGGCTGATTCCTCACCGTTCTCATGATCATTGCAACTCCACGAGGTGAGATCTTGCATGGAGCCCCAGGCCGAGGGAGATTGACAGTTCTTTTGTGTTTATTCCATTTGCGAATAATCGCACCAACTGTTGTCACCTCACCAAGCTGCTTGGCAATGGTGTTGTAGTCCATTCCAGTCTTGTGTAGGTCTACAATCTTGTCCCTGACAGAAAGTCAGAAATCTTTCTGATTGAGAGGGGGCCAAATACTTATTTCCCTAATTAAAATGCAAATCACTTTATAACATTTTTGACATGCGTTTTTCTGGATTATTTTGTTGTTATTCTGTCTCTCACTGTTCAAATAAAGCTACCATTAAAATTATTGACTGATCATTTCTTCGTCAGTGGGCAAATGTACAAAATCAGCAGGGGATCAAATACTTTTTTCCCTCACTGTAACTGGTGCACACTCGGTGCGTCGAGCCAAGCTACTCCGAGTTGCTAGGATTGGCGGCGCCATCGCCACAGGCCTAATGGAGATGTGTGCACGTGTGGCCCTCATGAATGAGGCAGCGGCTGTAGGAAGAGCAGTTGGAGGATGAGGAGTTGGCCTACTGAAGGAGATGTGTGCACGTGTGTGTGGCCATTTAGAATATTTGTTAACGGAGAATGGCAGTGCGGTGGTTAGTACACTTCCCTATAAACCCCAACTGATCTTGGGTCTCCCATAGGTCAACTCAGCCTGAAACAAGTTCCTGATGCGGTGTGTTAACATCAGCACTGGGGAGCCAAAGGCGGCTGGGTGTGATGTTGACCAACCAACTCTGTGTGCCGTGCCGGCCTTCATAGGTGCTCACTCACTGCACTTGCTCCAACAGCCTGCTAAAGTCTATTATGAACTGGGCAGCACCTGTAAGGAGAGGAGGGAGGACGAAGTGAGCGTCTATCCAGGGGGCATCAGCTGACCCCCGCGAGCCCTGACCTCGCGAACCCTGACCTCACGATGGCCCCCGCGTG